TAAAAATTTGTATTTCAGAATATCACCATGTGTTACCCCATTGTAGCGCCTCTTGCCCATGTTTTTATCAATATAAAACATCATATCATACACCAAATATGCATTTATGTAAAATTATGTGGTTTAAAATACAGAAAAATAGATAGCATTCATCATAGAATACCACCTTGTGTAACCCCAATTTACTGCCTTTTGCCCCTGTTTATATCAATATAAAAGGTAGCATGTAACCTTCCTTGTAACATGTGTAAAAGTTTCAAGAAAATCAGTAAAGTGGTTTTTCTGGAATCACAATGACAAGATTTATCCAAAAAACTTCCAAGATGGCCGCCTGAATGCAAGATGGCCACCGAAAGGTTAATTAGCTCTTGAACTTCTTACCATGTAATATGTGTGAAAATTTGAAGTAAATCCGTTTGGTTTTCCTGAAATCGTGATGATAAGATTTATCTTTAAACTTCCAAGATGGCTGCCAGAATGCAAGATGGCCACCGAAAAAATAATGAGGTCTAGGACTTTTTACCATGTTACATGTGTGAACATTTGAAGTACATCTGTTATGTGGTTTTTGTGGAATCGCGATGACAATATTTATCTGAAATAAATTCCAAGATGGCCGCCAGAATGCAAGATGGCCGCCGCAAAGTTAATCAGCTCTAGAACTTCTTACCATGTAACATGTGTGAAAATTTGAAGTAAATCCGTCTGATGGTTTACCTGGAATCGTGATGACAAGAAAGTGAGACTTCAGAATGCCACCTTGTCTAACCCCGTTTTGGTGCCTTTTGCCCCTGTTTACATCAATAGAAGAGGTGTTTTCTTTAAGAGGGAAGTCTGTTCTTTCAAACGGTACAATCATTTCATGTGGGAAAGTACCGGACAACAAAACCCCTTTTCTAGAGCCCTTTTGGAAATCAGATCGGGGACTATTAGGATATTTAAACAGAGTTATTTGTATTGGTATTGATATTCGACCACATTCGCGTTTTTTTCGCTATTGTGATATAGATAACCATATTAGGATTCATATTAGTATTCGTATTAGGATTCTTACAGAGTATGCGAATTCTAATATGAGCTCGTATTTGTATTGGTATTGACGTTCGACCACATTTCCTGCAGAAAAGTCATCCTTCTTCGCTAGAATTATATAAACAACCATATTAGGATTCATATAAGTATTCGCATTAGGATTCAAACAGAGTAAGCGAATCTTAATCTGAGCTCATATTTGTATTGGTATTGACGTTCGACCACATTTCCTGCAGAAAAGTCATCCTTCTTCGCTAGAATTATATAAACAACAATATCAGGATTCATATTAGTATTCGTATTAGGATTCAAACAGAGTAAGCGAATCTTAATCTCAGCTCATATTTGTATTGGTATTGACATTCGACCGCATTTGCAGCAGAAAGGTCATCTTTCTTCGCTAGAATGATATAAACAACTATATTAGGATTCATATTAGTATTCGTATTAGGATTCAAACATAGTTGGTGAATGCTAATATGAGCTTATATTTGTATCGGTATTGACATTCGAGTACATTTGATACATAAACATCAACATTCATTTGTATAATGATATTCTTAACCATATTTTGATTCATATTAGGTTTCATATTTGTATTGGTATTGACATTCAAGCTCACTAGCTGCTGGTCATTTTGAATCCCAATACCAATATGCAGCCAACTTTACCCACTTATCATACTCCATAGTTTCCAAGTCATGTAAGTTTGATTTGGTTCAAATATCAAAGTATAACGTTAACTATTAAGGAGTTTAATTCAATGAAAACTAAAAATATCGAAATCGACAATTACATGTCCGCCATCTTTGATGCGAATGTTACGGCCGTTACCTTCGCTTGATACTGACCTGTGTTGTTACAAAGTCGATTGCTAATCTTAGATTTTTGTGTATTCTCATCCTAATGCCTTAAAATTTACATCCTCTATTTCATATATCTAGGTATATTTCTAGCTATATCAGGCCTCGCACCACAGAGCTGTGTGGTTCGCGATGTGGGAACTTGCAAGCGGAGAAGTATTTCGAGAGAGAGGAATTGGTGGTTCGCGACTAAAGAATCGATATTCGCTTTGTGAGAACCTTGTATGGAGTGGAGCACAGGGTACGTACGAAATTAGCGTGACAGTTGAACGCGCGGAGTACGGTACAACACGAGGGTGATGGAATTTCAGCAAACTGATGTTTTAATCGTTTCAGAAAGATCTGGTCTAATTTATAAATATTTTTATGTGTGAATGTCTGTAACAATATCCTAGACAGTGAACTTGACGGTTAATTTCATAGTTTAACCTACACAAACTCCAAATGTAGTATACGGTACAATGCGCGGGCAAGATACGGTATAACGCAAATTCCAATTCCTTGTGGTGTACCTTTCTGTTACCGCGCGTTAAACCGTATACTACATGTACATTAGGACTTTGTGTAGGTATTACTATGACATTCACCGTCAAGTTCACTGTCTAGGATGTTGTTAGACATTTACATAAAAAAAATATCTAGAAACTAGACAACATCTTTCTGAAACGATGAAAACATCACTTTGCTCACATTTCATCACCCTCGTGTTGTACCGTACCCCGCGCGTTCAACTGTCACACTAATTAATTTGGTACGACCCTGTGTGGAGGAACGCAGTTCGCGAGGTCGGAACTGATGATGGCGTTAGTGAAAGTCTAGGAGTCCTCTATCATAAGCATTACAATAGTTCATCATGTCTTTCCTAACCTTTATTTGAAAATAAGTACATGTACATGTGAGTCAATTGCACAATAAGAAACATAACTACTGGTAGATGACTACAGTATCTGTGTTCATAAAGATACTAATTATAACAGTGTATAGGGTGACAAAAAAGAAAAATGAATTTGGCATCTATCAATTAGGGTATCCTTATAGAAACTGTATATACTTCACATTCATGAAGTTAAAAATCTCTCAAATTGTCCAAATTATGTTGTAAATGTCATACACATTGTATCATTTTCTTGAAATATACACATTTATCTACATTTTAATCCTTGATATTAAGGATATTGTTTCTAGAGTGTATACTGTATGTACAGTATGTGTTACGCGTAATATGGCATACATTCATGGTTGCGCAGCATTTGTGATACGGGTGAATATGCCATACTCACCTGCTGTATATGGCATATTCCGCAGGTGAGTATGGCTGCGATATTCCGCAGTAAATATGCGATACATTGATTTCAGTGAATACCTGATACTCACCTGCAGAATATGCCATATACAGCAGGTGAATATGACATATTCTGCAGGTGAAAATGTGATAAAGACTTGGTTTGATTGGTTGCGAGAATCTACTCTAAATGTAAAACTACGCTGGATTACCAATATTGTTAGTGCGTCGAGTACTAATATATGAATCCTGGATTGATTGGGTAAGTTTATTACGTGAGATTGGTGAGTGATAATTCTGGACACGTTAATATATTCGACAAACTGTACTGTTGATTCAGTAATCATTATAATAATTTATAAAGTTTTACTTGTTCGTTCAATCGATGCAATTGACAATTGCGTACTTCCGTAACACGTTCTCATTGGTTAGTGTGTATGCCATATATAGCAGGTGAATCTGTCATACACCGCAAGTGAATATGCTATATTCGTTGCGGAATATGACATATTTTTGTATCATGTTTACCGCGTAACAGTATGTTGCATGTATATACATTATCATTCATTCATTGTATACTAGCTTTAAATCTTGAACTTCATAATTTACATGGTACATGTGTTTCTCATTCATTTTTTCAAAATAGTATCTTAGGACAAAATTTCATGAATAAAAACCTTAGTAACAAAAATAAATTCGTTTTCCTCATAAAGCTTCATACAATAGGAAGAAATTGGAGCTCTTATTGCATCCTTTTTTATAAGTTTTTATTGCAAAGTTAATTAAAAATATTTGTTCAATGAACATCATAGCAGAGAAAGCATCCATCGTAGTAATCATACATACATGTATACTTTAAGGGAAAGACATGTTTGCCTCCCTACAAGACAACCATTGGCTCTAATGAACTGAATACTGTATGGAATCCATTACTGGAGTCAGACCATCGACCAGCTCCTGCTAGTCCTGGTGGCTAGGAGAAGAACCAAACAGTAGAGCCTGAGGAAGACACTCGAAGGTTGTCGAAAACGTAGCTCAATAATTAAGTGAGTATTAATTAGTTGAAGACAAAAGTACATGTATTATAGTATTTGCCTCCCATACGTATATGTAACATAACCCCTAAACACTTGTAAGTTGAAAACTATCAATCAGATGCTGTTGTCACATCATCTTGTAAATGACAGTGTCCAATATTTCTGAGATTCCACTTGGTAACCCTACTATCACACCAAACTAGTTCTCACTACGTTCTCGAAAACGGGCTCCAACTGTGTACGAACGGACTGGACTTGCTAAGAACCGTTTGGGATCTATTTACAAACTTCATCGAACGTACTCGAACGGGTAGGTCCTCTAGAACTTAGACAATGCTCAAAATTTTCTTGTGGTCGTCACATTCTACAATTAGAACGAGTGATAACATACTAACGACGAGCTGGACGTACTACGAACGGAACCGTCGTACTTCAATCCTACTAGGGACGTTTTAACAACGAGTTGAACTGTCTGAGGACGTGTTGAGAACGAGGTAGAACTAATTGCAAACGGGTTTAAACTAATTTAGAACGTATTTAACACTGCTTATGAACGAGTTAGCAAAAATATAGCTATCACACCAAACAAGTTGCGACTACGTTCTTCAAAACTGGTTTTAAACTGTGTGCGAACGGAATGAACGTAGCTGCAACTTTCTAAGGTCTATTTACGAACTTTATGAACGTTCTCAGACGGGAATGTGATTTTAGAATTTTGAATCGATTCAAAATTCGATGGCGACCATACCGTTCTGTAATCAGGTCATGTTGACCTTCTAGACTAAGGGACGCGTTCTACGACGTTGCACACTGACGTGGTGCGACCTGAACGAACTGCGAACGAGATGGACGTATTGAAGACTGTTTAAGAACGGAGAAGCTAATTATTTCAGACATATTTTCCGACCACAGCCATATTGAGCCCGTTTTACGAGTTTTCCTAGGACTGGCAAGAACGTGTAAGAACTAGTTTGGTGTGATAGGGGGGTAAGATATACTGATTTCTGTTATATTCAACATTTCACTTAATGAACATGTTTTTATACTGTCACTAAAAATATACTTTAATTTCTGGTTTTTCTTCCTGCACTCTCTCCATGGAATTCTGGAAATATATGAAATACACACCATTAGTTAAAATGCTCACTCCATACAAGATACCAAAATTGTTTGGTATGAGATCCGATTTTTAACATTTTTCACCTTTTAAAAATATTTCAGAGGTTTTTGAAATATATTGCAAAAGAAGATCAAATCATAATTATATCAAAGTGATTCACTTATTATATGTAATCAAGACAACTTACTCGTCAAAATATCTTGTATGATACCTAGCAACAAGTGATATGCAGCACTGTTAATCATTAATACATGTATAAAACTAACTACAGTATATGACTAATGGCAGACATTTGCAATACTTACATGAATCACTCCATTTTGTCTATGTATGTTTGGTATAGATCCACTTATGCTCTCTGAAGTTGAAGTGTTTATGCTCCCATTTGGCTTATTTAAGGAGTCATCATCTTTAGGGACAACAGCTGTCTCTAATTGAATCTCACCAAGATGGCGGTCAGCCTGAAAGCTGCCATTTTGTTTGTGATGTAAATCACCATTTTGACTTCCATGAAAACTTGTACTTGTATATACAGGATTTTTATTACTGTCAACAGTGTAATCATCTGACTCTTGAAGAGGGTTTTCTTGTATAGTAGTGGCATCCTGTCCACCATAAAAGTCTAACTGCATACTTCCTGGTGATTGCATATAGAATAGCCCCTCTAGGTTATCTTTAGAAGGGGACTCCTTCCCAACTTTTATTTTTGAGTTAATATGTTTTGGGCGCGTCATGATGTAAATGATCAAGCCAACAATGATTATTGCCATGACCCCCAAGAATGCAGACAGGACTATGACAAGGATTAGATCAGTCTGCTTCTTTATGGAAAGAATAGTTTGGGGAGTTGGGAAGGGAACTGGTGGAAATGTTATAATAACTGTGCAGTAACTGTCAATAGGTGGCACTCCTAAGTCTGTGGCTCTTATAAATAAGTTGTATTGTTCCATAACTATTGCTGATATATTTCCCCGTAAGGATATCACGCCTGATGTTGGGTCAATTTTAAAAAATTCATCTTCTCCAACTTTGCTATATGTTATCATGGAACCTACTTCTTGATCTGTAGCCTGAAAAATCAATTATGAAACCAATTATTACTCATACAAAGTGAGTTTCCTGAGTCTTTCTATTAATTTATTACAATGTTGTCTGTATTCAAAATTAGTTGTTGTCCAGTTTCAGTTTTAAAGGATGTACAATGTCTTTGAGTAAAAGTGATAGGGCTACCATTAAAAACTGTTTCAAGAAGAAAGAATGGGGTGGAACAATAATTGTGAAGCAATTTTCGGGCAAGGAGCAGAGTCATGTGACAGCAACAGACTGTTACTGCACTAAATTAAACATACATTAAAGGACAGGATGATTATGTCATACAGGGTGGGCTAAAAAGGTAACCAAACAAATCTTGATAAATCAGTCATTCTGTATGGGTTTTAAGTCATATTTGGCACAATTGAAACTTGTTAATGTTCCATTCTACTGACATCAGAAAGAAAATGAGAGCCACTTCACAAGATATCAGTAAGCATATAGTAAAAAAACTTCCCCAGATGTGTTCAAATTTGCCTCAAGAGACACGATCGATATTTTGAGCATGTTTTGTAAAATGGCCATACAATTGTGATTGTTAGACACCCTGTAGCAGCAATATTGCTGGAAGAAATGCTCAAAGGACTTCTGCTTGGAATAAATGGCTTCATGTTGACTAAAATAAGTGCACTGTTTCATGATACGAGATATTTTGACATACTGTTTGAAATTTGACAATTCAAGAATAAGTTGTGACAGATTGTCTATATAAATATATTGCAGACTTGTTGTTGATACCCTAAGTTACTCAAAAGATTTGGTTTATCTATTGCAGAGAAAATACTTTTGGGACACCCAATATATATTTTATTGACTCTTAATATACAAGTACACACACTCATCTGTTACATCAAAGTATAAAAATAATTAAATCAAGATGTTATTTACATAATGATACAAATGTAGTATATATGCTGAAATATTACTTGCAGATAAGCTTATTAATGACTACATAATACACATACTTATGGTACAAACCTGTCAACATAGTTTCACTACAGTCAAGTTTTTCTGTAAACTACCATAAAAATCTACATATTTATAAAAACATTTGCATAAAGTCAAACAGGTATTCCTGTACAACTCTATTCCTGAAGTGCAAAAACCTTCTAAGTGTACTAACCTTCACTTTCCCTATAACGTGGTCATCCTCTTTTACACCTTCAAATATATATGTGTCCTGCTGAAAGACAGGAGGGTTGTCATTCACATCTGTCACTCTCACATTCACAACTGAGGAAGTCGTCTGAAAGTGGATCAAATATATATGTTTAAAAGCATTACAAATGTTAACACTCAGAAAACAGCAAATCCTTGTCGCAGCGGATGCCATGCTTAAAAGGCAGCAAATGAGATTTGAACCAATTCTGATGACTATAATTTAGTACATGTACTAACATGTAAGGTCTCAAATATTGGGACCAAAAAGTTGCTCAGATGAACTGGTTAATTTAGATACCAAACAAACTCCACTAATCACTGGCATAGCATGGGTATTTTGTAAGTGTACGCCATAAGTGATCGAAACGAACAAGCTTTGAGGGGGGTAGTGGGTTGTCCACTCAAGAAAATTTGAATTGAGATTGGATTTGAAGCGTTCTGTGAATCATTGTCCATTTTTTTAAATTCTAAAATTTTTCAATATGAAAATCAACTGTTTTCTAAATTTTGAGAGTAGCCATGGCATTTTAATACGTTTATGACGCTACGCCATTGCTAATTACTAATCCCAAAATTTTCATATATTATATGATTATTCAAATATTAACTTACATATTGTGAATCTGTTGCCTTCACTGTGAATGTATGAAATTTCTGTTGTTCATAGTCCAGCGATTGGGCAGTTGTGATTTCTCCACTAGAAATAGATGTTATTGTACAGGCAGCATACAATATTACACATTTCTTATGACAGACATTTTATCTTGTTCCCCTTATGCACGATGACCATTCATAAGAACAATAAAAACAGTTAATAACACCAAAAACACAAGTTCATATTCAATATTGATCATGTAATAATTTAATCTGTATAAGTGTATAGTGACCTTAGGATGCACAATTAATGTGTAATGTAATCAGTAAAATATTTTACCTTGTAGGATGAATATTGAAGAATTTACTTGCAGTTAGATCATTAAAACTGTATGTCACTGTGTCTCCCTGAAACAAGTAACTGATGAATTAATGGGTTTTAAACAACTAAGCAGTGATGGTGAAGTGAGTGGGTTTATCTCAGGTGAGGTGGAAGCAGAGGTGACTTCCATGAATGATGGGAACCCTGGTCTGGAAAATGAACTTTTTTAAAATGAAAATCTCTACTACTATACACATCAAACACTTGTTTTGTTCTTGGTATCATGTTTCCAGAGTGAAATGAAACATCTTCCCGAACCTCATTGGAACAAAACGACATAAACACAACATGTTTAGGTCTCTCAATATTGTAATTGTACAAAGGAAATTTTGGTTGATTTTAAAAAGTATCTTGTTAATGAAATAAAGGGTTTATCTTGATTTTTATCTATTTTGGGGGGGGGAATTTTGTTTTAATTTTTTGAATACTTTTTAAAAATCAACCAAAAATTCCTTTGTATAACTATAATATTGAGAGGTCTAAAAACATGTTGTATATGCTATTTTGTTCCAACAAGGTTCGGAAAGACATTTTATTTCATTCTCAAGAATTGGTACAAAGGAGCAAAAACAATTGCACTAAAAAAACAAAAAATGTTAACAAAAACAGTTATATAAAATATTTCTAAATAATTTTCGCATTAAATTGTTGTCAAACCGTCAACATTACATAAAATACCATGCTTTTTTACAGAATGTTTTCAATGATTGGTTTAAGAGAATAACATTGTTGAATTCAGTTCTCCGTATCGACACCACTCCTCTCCCCACCTAGTTGCAATAACAAATGTGTGACTATTTAAACACAACTTGTTTGGGTGAGACAGTCTATGAATAGGAATCAACCAACATCTTGCCACACCTTCTCAATATCATAAAGAGCCCACTTGGTCTCTGAACTTGGTCATGGCAATATATATACCTTGTCTGAGTCTATTGCCTGTACTCTCAACACATAGTCCCCTATTGGTAGCCCTTCAGCCACTGATATGTTATACATGGATTGTTCAAATATTGGACTATTCATGTTAGGTCCCTGGACATCCACTCTGAGTGTTGCTATGGCATAGCGATCCAAATCATCAACTTGAGTAGCCTGTAAATAGAAATAACATAATGTATGATCAAAGATGCCCATAGGGTGACTTGAATACATCCCTCACAGAAATATATAAGGGTTATGTACTAGGAGGTATTAGATATGGAGTTTATGCGGAGAGAGATATGCATGGTACAAATTGAGGAAAAAAGAGAATTACTGTGTAATTTGCACAAAGTAGACCCTGTTTGCCTCCAATGGGGCCTTAGCTACACTGAACTCTCAGTTTAATTTACCTTTATTTGCACAAAGTAGACCCTGTTTGCCTCCAATGGAGCCTTGGCTACACTAAACTGTCTAGGTAATTTACCTTTATTTGCACAAAGTAGACCCTGTTTGCCTCCAATGGGGCCTTAGCTACACTAAACTGTCTAGGTAATTTACCTTTATTTGCACAAAGTAGACCCTGTTTGCCTCCAATGGAGCCTTGGCTACACGCAGCTCTGCAGTTATATTGTCTAGAGAGAAATATTCAGCATCTCCTGTAAAAAGAAATATATGAATGCCAGACACTTTTAAGGTTCCATCACAACTAGAACAACAAAAATATTTCAGGATAAATCATCACCAGCAGATTGGGAGTTTTTAAAAATGTATAAGCTATATTGCAATTTACAGTTTACACAATGTTTCGTATAGGACTGCAGTTTTGTAACAATGGACATGGTAATATTAAAGGAGTAAATCAGCAATATTACTGATTTTTTGATTATGTTAACCAGCAGCGAGATCACAAATCAGTAAATGTCATGTTAATTATTTTCTTATTACTAAGTATTATTTATTTCATTGATGTTTTCTTTAGAATGGATTAATATGGTAAGGTCTATCTAAGTTTACATGTGTCTCACCTTTAATTGAGTCTGATGTAATATCATAATAAACAGATGCATTTATGCAAATGTCCTGGTCTCAATATAACATATAACAAGTTTACATGTGTCTCACCTTTAATTGAGTCTGATGTGATATCATAACGCAAAGATGTATTTATGCCAATGTCCTGGTCTCCTAATAACATATAACAATTTTACATATGTCTTACCTTTCATTGAGTCTGATGTGATATCATAATGCACAGATGCATTTATGCAAATGTCCTGGTCTCAATATAACATATAACAAGTTTACATGTGTCTCACCTTTAATTGAGTCTGACGTGATATCATAATGCACAGATGCATTAATGCCAATGTCCTGATCTCGCGCAAAAATTGCCTCAGGCTTTACAGTAACCAAAGAACCCTGCAAATAAAACAAGAAATCAACAAACAGAATTAAAACTAGAAAACTCCACAATTCCTTAATTATTTCAAGAATCTGAAATATGTCCTTATATAATGGGGGAGCCTATAATATTTGATAGAGAGCTTTAACAAAATGTTTTTAGACTATCATTTTGGCCCCAAAAGAATTATATTAATATGTTTCCAAACACATCCTGTAATGCCTTGTGAGTCGTGACACCGTTCTGGTATAACATTAATCATGTTTCTTCAAAATGTCTATTCAAACTCATATTGAAATAATCACAGTGCGTTCAAATTGCGAACTAAAATGCATTAGAAACAACAGTTATTGTTAGTATCTCAACTGAAATACTCGATTCTGATTGGTTGATTAGCGGTCAACAGTAGTTTCTCGGTTTACAGTCTCGGTATACAATTTTGCCGGTTGACCTCTGGAGAGGTCAACAATTGTATACTGTAAAATATTAAAATCATGATTGTGGATAACTAACATGAAGAGATACAGAAATGTTTGAATGATATAATGCTCCACTTTTGAACTTTAGATACATGTACCCTTGATTTATACATGAAACCTGAACACATGAACACTCCCATTGAAGATCGAAACTGGACGATATAACAATACCCCACTCCAGGATCGCCGATGTCACTGTGATAATTTAACTGTTGAGGACGAGTTTCATTTTCTTTTACAGTGCACTAGTTATGAAGAACTGAGAACTCCATTGTTTTTAGATTGTGTTAAGGAAATTCCTGACTTTCACCAGCTTAACCATATTCAAAAATTTTGCAATATTATGTCAACACAGAGCCTACAAAGGACACTATCCAAAACACTTATAAAAATGATTTTAAAAAGACATACTCTACTGTGATAATTTAACTTTTTATATAGTCATGCTGAATCTAGTCTCTCATAGGTCCACACCGGCCGGGCCAGACAATTTTAATAGTATTGTTTTATAATTGTATGTATTTTAAATGGCGTGAGACATAAATAAAACATAACATAACATGAAAATGCTTGCATTAGACATCTCAAAGTCAGACTTTTGATTTAAGGATGAAGATTTCCTGCAAGTATCTATTTTACTGTCCTTTCAATCTAATGTTTCCTTAAGTTGACAGTACAATATACATGGATAGTTTACCTGTGTGATGTTGTCTGGCACCATTGCAAAGTATTGGTTATGGTTGAATGCAGGGTTTTGATTGTCTCCATCCTGTATGTGTATGGTCAAGTTGGCAGTGTTAAACAGTGTGGACTGGTCAATCCCATTCACTGGTGGATGGTTATCCTACAATAACATTATACCTTTCTCATTATGTTTCAAAAATTTTGAGTAGTCAAAGTAGACATATTCAAAATTCAAAGAACTGATGTCCAAAATAATATTAAGATTAAAAATAAATATTGAATAGTACAAATTAGAAACAAGGCACAGACGTGAACAATATCGTACCTAAAACACAGCAGTGTGACAGTGAAGAATTTAGGACGGAAAATCCAAAATGGCCACCTTTAAATTTACCCAGAATGCCCAAAAACTAATCAGTTGTTAACTTTGATACGTAGAAACATCCCTGAAAATTTCAGATGAATCCATCAATGGTTTGGCTGGAAACCTGTAGACAAGTCTTGAAAGTGAAGATTTTAGGACGGAAAATCCAAAATGGCCACCTTAAATTTTACCCAGAATGCCAAAAAACTAATCGGTTCTTAACTTTGATACGTAGAAACATCCCTGAAAATTTCAGATGAATCCGTCAAATGGTTTGGCTTGAAACCTGTAGACAAGTCTTGAAAGTGAAGATTTTAGGACGGAAATCCAAAATGGCCACCTTAAAATTTACCCAGAATGCCAAAAAACTAATCATCAGTTCTTAACTTTGATACGTAGAAACATCCCTGAAAATTTCAGATGAATCCGTCAAATGGTTTGGCTGGAAACCTGTAGACAAGTCTTGAAAGTGAAGATTTTAGGACGGAAAATCCAAAATGGCCACCTTAAAATTTACCCAGAATGCCAAAAAACTGATCAGTTCTTAACTTTGATACGTAGAAACATTCCTGAAAATTTCAGATGAATCTGTCAAATGGTTTGGCTGGAAACCTGTAGACAAGCTGAAAAGTGAGACGCCGCCCGCCCGCCTGTCAAGCTGACTACAATATCGTACCTTTATTAGGTAGGATAATTATTAGGTACGATAAAAACATGACAATAATATTAATCACACTATTTTGTTTTAATTACTTCCTGTACTGGGGAATATCCCAATATTGTGATATTGGGCCTTTAGAAATGTTGAAATAAATGTACTGCAATTTGAAGACATAGTTATCATCAATGTATTTTACAGGAATATCACAATCTTTGAATCTCACTTTACAGAAAAAGCTCATATGTCAAGTTGAAGAAAATCACCCCATTTTTACAAAATTAGAAAAATGCTCAATTTATGCAAGGGACTCTCCTATACCATGCAGAAAAACATCATTATCCCATAGTTGAGGTCAAATCTGTAGAATAACACTTATATACGTATATTTATGATATTTTGCAAATGTGTGGAAAAAAGCGATATCTGTGGAATACGGAGAATATTCCATAGATATCACTTTTTTCCACCGATTTGAATCAATGTGATGTGCATTGTTACATGGTTACATGTTATATGCTTACATGGTGATTTCATGACGTCACAAATATGGAAATGATTAAAGTTTTGGCTATAGTTCAGACAAATAAAACTGAATGTTGTTGTGAAATGCTTTGGAAGGTGAACTATGAGATGATTTCCATGTTGAAATGGACCATGGCCATACCATTGTATACCATGGTATGACCATGGTATACCATGGTATATGACCATGAAATGCAATGAAATACCATGGTAATACCATGGCCGATCATGAACGTTAAATGGCACCATTGCAATTCATTGTTAACAGTTTGTTTTTAACATGGAGTTTTCCATTGAAAAAATACTGCCGTTTCGAAGTATTTCATGGTCAGAAACCATCAAATGCAATGATATCATGGTCAAGTTCTCGGCCATGATATCATTGCATTTGATGGTTTCTTGACCATGATATCATTGCATTTGATGGTTTCTGACCATGAAATACTGTGAAACGGCAGTATTTTTTCAATGGGAAACTCCATGTTAAAAAAACGCTCCTGACCATGAAATGCAATGGTGCCATTTAACGATCATGATATACCATGGTATACCATGGTCAATTAACATGTAATTTTGTATCTAAAAAATACCACCGTTTCACAGTATTTCATGGTCAAATACCATCAAATGCAGTGATATCATGGTCTAGACATTTAACCATGATATGCAATGGAGCCATTTAATTATCACGACCTGCCATGGTATACTTTGGAAACTATACTTAAAATTTTGCATTTAAAAATACTGCTATTTTGCAGTATTTCATGGTTTCAAACCATCAAATGCAATGAAGTACAGTCAAGATGTTTAATCGAAGACTGGAGGTTTGACTTACAAAATATTAAGTTGATCTCCTATTTAACCGACAACAGTCAAATAAAAGTAAAGCATATTTGTTTAACAAAAAAAAATTTGTTTCTAGGGTTATTAACTTAATTATTCATAATAGAAATTAATTTATTAAATAAAGGAACAAAAGTATATAAAGTTGTGATTTTGATGAATATCAGAATCACTAATTATAATAATTTGGTTATCTAATCAACATTTATTAATAAAGATATTTCATGTAAAAATACTTTTTGAACATGGCCTTTCATTGTATTTCACTGCATTGCAAGAAAGACCATTGCATTTCATTGCATATCATGATCAATCATTGTATTTCATTGCATTTCATGGTTAAACGTGGCATTTCATGATCCATTTCAACTCTGACCAATTTTAGACTTGAGACTCTTGTAGAGTTCTTTTTAGTAATGAAATACCATGATATAACCATGGTATTTGATGGTCAGGTTTGACAATGAAATGCTATGAAATACAATCAACCACGAAATACAATGATATGCCATGATAAATGATAGTTATGATTATGGCAATGAAATACCATGGTGTGACCATAGTATTTGATGGTCAGGTTTGACAATAAAATGCCATGAAATACCACCAACCATGAAATGCAATGATAAAACCATGATAAATGAGAGTTATGATTTTGGCAATGAAATGACATTGTATGACCATGGTAATTGATTGTCACACGGTACAATGAAATGCCATGAAATGTCATCAACCATGATATACAATGGTAATACCATGGTAAATGATGGTCAGGTACATAACAATAAAATATCATGGTATGACCATGACATTTGATTGTCAAATTGTACAATGAAATACCATCAACCATGATATACAATGTTAATACCATGGTAGATGATGGTCAGGAACATGGCAATGAAATACCATGGTATGACCATGGTATTTGATTGTCACATCTTATAATGAAATGCCATCAACCATGATATACCATGGTAAATTATGGTCAGGAACGTGGCATTGAAATACCATGGTATTTGATTGTCACATCTTACAATGAAATGTCATGAAATGCAATCAACCATGATATACCATGGTAATACCATGGTAAGTGATGGTCAGGAACATGGCAATGAAATACCATGGTATTTGATGGCAAACTTTGGACATGAAATACCATGAAACATGGTATAACATGATATACCATGGTATACCATGGTCAAAAATTGACCAAAAAAACATCATTGCCACCATGGTCAGAGTTGATGGTAATTTCATTGCCGATCATGATAGACCATGGTAAACCATGGTATACCATGGTATCATGGTTTACGTTTAAACATGGTTGGCCTCAACTATGGGATAATTAGAACATCCTATACATATCAAATCAATACAAACAAAATATACTAATATCTGAAAGAATGGACTGGTTAGGTATTTATGCAAGAAGACATGCTTTAATATGATTTGTTAAATTCTTTTTCTCTTCCTAATTATCCAATCACATCTGATGATCTGAATTAAAGTGTGACCACTCATTACTTTATAACAATGACATGTACCATCATGATTTAGAATGGACATGTACAGTTATGTCAATATCAAGGACACCCAGTTGCAGAAAAACATTTGAGAATAACTTTTCCTTTTTATGATGGAATCTTCACGATTCTTTCCTTTTGTAGAATGCCTTTCAGTTTGATGAATGTAAAATTATATGTAACAGTTTATCCTATGGCTTCATACCATCATGAGGGTGTTCTATACAGCAGCATATTTGACTTTCAAAGTGGGGTGCTACTAAAATGATAATAATAAAATAGTGAGTGGGCACTCCTTACAATGGATTCATTAAGTTCTTAATTCTTTCTGAATTCATGATAAGACATTGTTTATCTCATGCCACGATGCTAATTATTCCTATTATTGTAGGGAATGTTAAGCTAGTCATGTTTTGAAATGTAAAAACATTGTAAATGTGTATATTAAAGGCAATTTTACAAACGAAATATATAGCAAACATCATAAAACAACACACCAGAAAGGCCACCATTTTCAAAATGGTTGCTCACTAGCCAAGTTGTCATCAGAAGAAATAATATGCTTTTAAGTAGCCACCTATAAAATCTTTGAAAAATCACATACATGTACTTGTAAAATAATAATGGTGGCCATTTTTCAAAATGGCTGACTACTCCCCAAAGTTTTATTAGACAATGTGCCATGCTTAAATTGTTCACATATCAAATATGAACAAAATCGCTCCACTACTTTTTGAGTTATAGTAAAAAATGTAAAAATGACAGCCATTTTTATAAAATGGCCGCCTACTATCTGAAGTGTCATGAGACAGTGTGCAAGGCTCATGAGTATTCACATATCAAATATGAACAAAATCGCTTCACTACTTTTCAAGTTATAGTAAAAAACGTAAAAATGGTGGCCATTTTTCAAAATGGCCACCTACTACCCAAAGTGTCATTAGACAGTGTGCCATAGTATTCACATATGAAATATGAAACATACCAAATATGAACAAAATCACTTCACTACTTTTCGAGTAATAGTAAAATACGTTAAAATGGCGGCCATTTTTCAAATTTTTTTTCAAAATGGCCGCATTCTACCAAAAGTGTCATAGGACGGTGTGCCATGCTTATAGTATTCACATACCAAATATGAACAAAATCGCTCCACTACTTTTCGAGTTATAGTAAAATACGTTAAAATGGCGGCCATTTTGAAAAATGGCCGCCTTCTACCAAAAGTGCCTTTAGACAGTGTGCGATGCTTATAGTATTCACATACCAAATATGAACAAAATCGCTCCACTACTTTTCGAGTTATAGCAAAAATCGTGAAATAACGAGTAAAGGCCGCCATTTTTCAAGATGGCTGCCATGTGCTTCTTTAATGTCTACATTTGTAGCTTTATTGATGTCCTTCATAATTTTTTTACATTTAAAACATATTGCTATTACAGTTTTACATATTGCACCTAAATTACTGTAAAATCGGCACTAAAATGGCCACCATTTTGAATTGAGTGGCCATTTTGAAAATTGGCTTTCGAGCAGAACTTCTACCCTCATAGGGCATGTGTGTATAAAATATGAACAAAATCGGGCAAACGGTATTTGAGTTATCGCCCGGACAGACGGACGTACGGACGGACGTACGGACGGACGTACGTACGAACGGACGGACGGACGGACGGACGGAGGCGTTCCCTATATCCCTCCGAACTTCGTTCGATGGGATAATAAACAGGCAGCTATTCACTATAATTCGCCATATACAAAGTGATCAGACCTAAACCATATGGTAAAGGACGAGAAACTGTAACATGTCTTCATATATGTTAAGCTACATGGTCTTTGACAATTTCATAGGTTTACTAATCACAATTTCGATAAAGAGAAATGGTGATGTAATTTGTGATGAGAAATGGTCATGTATTACATGTACGATATACATATACATATGTATATGATCTCAGCTATGTTCTTTTGTTCATTGTCCTCTACTGAATCCATATGGTTTAGGTCTATCACTTCATATAAAGGGGAAATTGTATAAAATATCAGACAATGTATTCAAAACAAAGGAAATCCTTTAACCACTTTCACAAAAAAAGGATCATTCTTTGTATGCAAATGATTTTCAAAATGTTACTTGAATTGGTCAGGTCATGTTTAAAAGTTATTTATCATGTATTATTATTTTTGGATTACATTCATTTGTCCATTGATAGTAAGGTTATAACAGTGACAAATGATAAGCATCATTAGGCAATCATTAAAAAAGTGCTTTTTGCATTTCAAATCATGACATAAATGCTGTCTTTTGGTTTCTCATATTCCAATAAGAAATGAATGTTACATCTATATGACCTGCTCCCCTCGGATTGCTCATTATGGATGGTTCTTTTTCCTAGAAATTGAAATGTGTTATTCCATTGGACAATGAGATGCTGCTGCTATTACATTTAGTCTATATACTATATATTGGATGTCATACAGATGAAATGGTTCATATAAAATAAGACAGGAAATAACCAGGCAGTACATCTGTAGTATTGTAATATCCTTGTCTTCTTTCTGGTAAATCATATACATATTTGTTCTCAAATCGAGGTCGTAAACTTATTAAAAAATGCATGTGGCCATTTTGAATTGAGCAGCCATTTTGAAAACTTGTTTTCCAACAGAGGTCCTATACCCATAAGGCATAAGTCTTTACAATTTTGACCAAATCTTGTGAATGAACTGCAAAGGATGTTTTACTAATTGAGTAGCATGGATTGATGTTTTATTGACTTTTGGTATTATATGATTGTAAATCAGCATGGGTTGATCTACTGACCTTAGCCATGATAGTGATGAGCATGGTCTGATATTTCTCATAGCTCAAAGCCTTGGCTATTGTCACAATTCCCTTTCCTGGTAGAGGGATGTCAAAGTACTCCTAAAAACACAACAAACACATCTACAACAATTATTCATGGGCATTCATTAAGACCAAAATTTGAAATACATAAATTTTAGTACAAAATACTGTCAATGTACATGTATAAATTGGGAATATACTGATTTTATATATTGTTTATCCCTGAAATTATGGCACTGCAAATTACAAACCTTTGAGCTGTTCGAATAAGCAAATTAAAATGAAGGCTTAGGGGAAAGTCTTAAAAAGAGCTTGTTCACATTTTTGAGGCAATTTTCTGAAAAGTAATGAGACAAAACTCAAGGGGCTGCAATGAAACCCATAGCAACCCCCTGGTTACAGCTACATGTATATTAAAGCTGAATTGTGAACTCATTCTGACTTGTTGCCAAAATACAATTCTAGCAACTTTAATGTTTGGTTTGTTTAACCTTAAAAGGCTTTGTTTAGCTTTGAAAACTACTTTTTGGCTTATTATTTGCAGCTGAAATGTTTTTTGATCTCTATCCAAAGCTTTATAATATTTTCATTAATTTGCAAAATAACCTTGCTAAAGTGTTTCTCAGGTTACTGGGCCATATTTGGCATCAAACCAAAGTCACATCATTGAGTAGAAAAAGTTGAAAGGGATTAATGGTCATGTTTCAAAACATAAAACAGAGTGAATGAGGAATATAGAAGAAATAAGCAATCAATATGGGGTAAAATCTTGAGAAGAAAGTCTACTAATGGATTCTAGGTAGTAAAAGAATGCAGAGTGAACAGCATTGCACCTTTAAATAGAAAGTTTTTGAGACAGAAAGTCCACCTTAAAATTTATCAAGGATGACCATGATTTAATCCCTAAATATTTTGAGATCAATCCATCAAATGGTTCCCTGGAAATGCATAAATCATAAACCAGACTCGATTTAGCAGTGCCTTTATGTTTATTTTTTTAAATCGAAAAACCAGACAAACTGCAAAATGGCCACCATGTAAATTAACAGCAACCCCATAACCTAATCCCTTACATCTTTAATAAGTAACCTTTATATTCTGTGTGTCCCTGTCAAAAATTCTAAAAGCCTTCATGAGTAGATCTGGATATGAGAGAAAGGCAAATTGGATTGAAATTCAACAATTCCCAACAGCTATCAAGTTGCTCAAGTTGCACTGGGAGATCCCTGTTAATGCCTTTGAATATTCAGCAGCCTATTGTTCTAATTTAATGAATGATACAAATTATATAACAAGTCTGATCACATAATGACCTTGAAAGTTGAAACAATGAAGAATGATGAATAGATAATTTAAGGATTAATGTTTCTATTTATTACTAAGCACTTTTAAAAACATTCCCCATGGTACCTGTGTGTGATGTTATCTAGTACATTAACATGATTTTCAGTTGGTGAGACAATTATCATGTAGGAATTAGGGGTACCACGAGCGCTCGAGTGCTCGAGCGCTCGAGCAATTCACCTCCGATACGAGCTGTATCGATACATAAAATGAATATCGGTCGTATCGTTTTTTGACCGGAAGTCCCTCCTTGAAGGGAAAAACTTGGCGCTTAGCGATGACAGACAGTCATAGTATTACATATCTTGCTTGCCACCTTCGTTTGCCCCTCTAGTTCCCGAATACCACACGTCGTTAAGATGTTTTAATCGATGTTAGCATATTTTACACCTTTTTTTGTCGTGATGTGAAATAAACGTAATCCGGCTGAAGTACTTCCGGCTTTACAAGTTTGAAAAATTAAATAAAGTTCAGTTTTACTTCAATTTACGATGTATCATTGTATCGTATCGTTCGTATCGTATCGTGAGGTAAGTATCGTAGATACGTATCGAGATTCAATTTCTCGTATCGTGGTACCCCTAGTAGGAATGGTTAAGACTGGAACACTTGGGAAATCCAATGAGCAAGAATACCATGGAAACTAATAAATGCAAGGATAAAGCAACAATTAAAAAGGTACCTGACAAATGACTTGGTTACCATGGTTACGCATGTCATGGTAATATATGTAAAATTACGTGTCACAATTGCGTTATGGTATTATTTCCATGGCGACTAAAATAACCCAGTTTCCATGGTAATGTTTTACTCTGTTACAAGAAAATATGTATAAGATTTGGCTTCCCAGGTGACAAATAAATAAAGCCACCAATGAAACTGTGTTACTAGAAGTTACACAATTTCCTACTTACTACCAGTTCTTTCTGAAACCAAATAATAAAATAAATATAGGCATCAAATGATTTATTTTTACACTATTGGTAGTATACTTGTGAATTTCTTAGTCATATATTTTTACTCTTTTAAGAGACTAAATGTTTGACAAGGCCAATTTCACTGGTCCTCACCTAGTTACCAAGATGATACTTCAGTGTATCATGGCGGAACAACTTCCGGGACTCGGTTTCGGTGAGAAATTTTTATTTCTCGATTTACACATATACTTATAAGTCACATTGTGGATAATAAATTGGCCCGAAATTAAGGAAGATAGTCTAGTTTGAGAATGCATTGATGATTTTAGGTTTGGTATGTTAACGAAGACGCAATTCATATGTTTAGTCCCTCACTTTTGTTACACTGATGAACGACCAATGTTACATCAACAAATGTTTGATTTGGAGCTGTTGTCACACTGACGAACCATTTTTAACATTGTACATTATATTAGGTAACAACCTGAAGAGCTAATCTCTTTACTTGATGTATTCGACTTGATTTTCATACATATTACCAGGCCTAGTATCAACTTAGATCAACTTTCTCTATAACATTATTCATTCATCAGTGTAATCAAAGCTCTACGTCAGTGTAATATTGGCAATATTCATGCCGATCATCAGTGTAACAAAAGCGAGGAACTAAATATGTGAATTGCATATTCATTAACAAACCAAACCTAAAACCACCAGCCAAAAAAACCCTTGAGCCAATTTATTATCCACAACTTGACTTATAAGAAGGTGTAAATCGAGAAATAAAAATATCTTACCGAATTCAAATCCCAGAAGTTGTCCCGCCACACTGACGTATCGTCAGGGTAACTAGGTGAGGATCAGTGAATTTCCTGTTTACTAGAAGGGTAATTAGAATGCCTAGGAGTTAAGATGTACAAGGCTTTAATTGGATTGAATGTTTTCTTCTAACTGGACATTAAACCCTTATATGCCAAACTCCTCAACTTACTGATGAGTCATTTCTTTCTTAAGTTATTAAAGTTACCATTGTAATATGTAAGTTATCATCAGCGTTTCTGTTAAATATAAGATGTTCAATTCATATTACTGAAGTACATGCATGTTGCAAAGGGAACTTACTGAGAAAGTGTCTGGTAGAATGGAATAGGTGATGTACGAATTATCCGGGTCTGCGTCTTTAGCTTCAATTGATCCAATCAACGTCATGCCTACAGGTGCTAACTAGAATTTGAAATATAAAAGACAAAACGATTGAGGAATAGCTGCATTTAATATAATTACAACAGAAGTTAAGTTGACTTTCTAATGGTATATGTATTTTATATGCTACATACGAGTATACATAACTAGACAATACTATTACATTTTAGAGGGAATCAATGGCTATTGGGTAACACTTTATATAAAAAGAATATCCACAATAGTAGATATATACAAAAATATAATTAGCTTAATATAGTACACAATATGAACGATTACCTAGTAAAAATAAATGACTCAAAAATGAAATGTAAATAATATCTTTAGGTCTATAAGCTTCAATGATATCAAACTGATGAATATCTTATGACACTTCAATTTAAAATTCCAATGTATAAAAAATACTCAAAGGCAACAAAACAGTATTCTTAAATTGAAATTGATATCTCATGTGAATTTTCTGAAGTGTGAGATAAATTCAAGAGAACTACATGAATTTATGGTAATAACTTAGCAGCACTTCATCAATTTTGATAACATTCAAAAATGCAATTACACTTCATTAAACGTAAAAATACAACCTTATTAACCAATTTGATGTTCCTTTGACATTTTGTCTCTTATATTTTTTTGTATTTTGTGTATTTAACATTTAAATCTTCACTTCGTGTTTGCTTATCTACCTGTATTTACCTATCAATCCTCTCTTTTTTACTGTTTTTCACCATTTAAAGCATGAACAGGGAAATATTTCATTAATGGGTATGTACATAATGAAGAATGTGTTTCAGGTTTTAAAATAAACAAACATAAAGAACTTTTTATGTTGACCTAGGTAAATAGAATATGACGGTTATTAGTTTATAAAATGTGAATTAAAGGAGAAGTGAGAAGTTTATATTGAATGAGACATGCATACATGAAGTCAGTGATCTAAATTATCTAAAATTGCCAAATAAAATTTTATTATAGCTCATGGAGAACAGGAATGAATTGAGCAGAAGCAAACAATTTACAGAGAGAATCACACAGTGCCACTGTACATGTATGCTTAAATGAACCGTTTTGCGTCTCCAATCAATATCATTGAAATTTTCAAAGTGGACCATCAAACATGACTTCAAAATACAATATCTTGAACATTTCATGATAAGTGGCTGCAATTTTGACTCCAGCAGCTATCTTCATAATTCCTTTTTGACTCTAGTCCTACGCCCACCCATATGGCATCACAATATAAAATATGAAACAAAGCTGACAACTTCCCATTAGACATTGCCTACAAAATTTAGACAACTTTGATATCATTTTGAGTTCAGTGTGTGGGTAGATCCACAACATTCTAGTACTTCTAATATTTCACCAATATAATGTTATACAATATGTTTTATTCTCATCAATGTACAAGAAAGACTTTCTATTGTTAACAATGTTTTTAAACACAGGGGCAACAATAGTAACATGTCTTGATTTTCATAGAGAACTTGACCTTAGATTAAAGCAATATATAAATACTTCAGGAATGTCTGAGATGGAATTCTGCAAACATTACTACAAATATACATTAAATGCATTGTACAAATACTTCAATCAAACCAGTATTTGTACTAAGCCCATGAGAAAATCAGATTTTTTGAACATTTCTATAAACTGCCGTGAACACAAAACAGGAAAGAAAAGAGACACCATATGATAAGGACAGACACTTCATTTAACTAGTTTTATTAACTGTATCAAAAAGTTTTCAAAGTATCAAAAAGTATCAAAGAGTTTGACTAATGAATTTGGTTATTATTTCAACAATGACAAAGAAAATCCCTTTAAATTGTTCACTCCTTAGAAGACCAATGAAGTTATATGTTTTACAACAAATCAAAATGTTGTTTATTTTGAAAAAACAGAGGCTTTATGTACAATTTATACCTTGTTTTTTCTTTATGTTTAAAGGTTTAGAATACTTGAGGTTTTATTCAACTTGACTAGAAGAGTTATGGCCTTGTATCAAAGGTTATTAAACATTCACACAGCACAGTTGTGTATCATACCTATGTTAAACATATCACTCAGGTCAGCTATATTCTTCAATAAATATCTCAAAAGAGTAAATGTGTTATACATTTCTTGGGATTTCTGTAGAATTTACAATCTGGATTCTGTCTCCTAGTTTTATTCTCTTTGAATATCACCATATTTTAGCCAATATTATATTTTATAAAATGACATTTGAATAATTTTACTTGTCGTATTTACCAATTTTTCTTTTAAAGATCAATTCAAAGTTACTCTGATAGCTTTAAGTTTACTTTTACTAAAGAAGTTGTGTGTTTGATAACATTAAGTGGCATTTAAATTCAATTCAAAGCTGGTTTTATTAGAAACTTAATTTTTTACATGTATAGACTAGGTGCACATCACAGTACATTCATAATTATTCAAACCCACATTAAAAGGTATTTAATATATTTTTGTTCAAAAATTTAAAGGCATTTGAGACAGCAAAGGTATCCCAGTTAATTGTTTGAAACTCCCATGAAGAATGTCTAGTAAAAGTTCCAAAAATTGTAAAATGATCAGTATAGAAATGTACTAAGTAGATGTTTTAAAGCTGAACAATGAATAAGGACAAACAATGAATCCAAGTCCAATTGATCGGAAACGTTTACGTCTATACCATGACCCAGTAATAATAACTTCATGTAGTAAAGTGGTGGATTAAATGAACATGTAAACATACCTTTGAAATCATGTCAGCTGATTGGAAGTGATCTTTTCCTAAGTAAAAACTTAAAATACATTAATTTTGCTTCCCAGAGGAAAGTTAATTAAACATGATTCAACAGCGAATAATATCCAATACTATTGTGAAAAAAATATTATTTTATAAATTGTTATTTTCATATTCTTTTTCTTCATATTTTTCTTGACATTTAAACATTTACCATAATTGCTGTGAGTCAACTGTAAGTCTTTACTATAATTGTAATCAAAGGTATTTTATTTTATCTATTTTTTAATTTAATTCTATCTATTTTCTAATCTAAATTTTCTTGCAGAGAAAAAATGTTCACTGTTGGGAGGTGTTCATTACAGAGAGGGTAATTTATACAGAAGGCAGTAGAGTATGTGCGGAGGAAGTATGTTCACTTGAGACATTGTTTACTAAGACATGTTTTACTGCACTTGTTTAACTCTGCTTTGAATGTCTGTCCTAAATTATTGTGCCTTATTCCTCCGGAATTAAGGTCTTATTTCTTATTCCACTCTGGTTTGCATTTAAGATAAAAATTGACCTCTGTGTTTTATAAATGGGGTACCTGTCTAAATATCTACTGTATGATACACCTATAATTACTCCAAGGTAAATGACAGGTAGAAATATTCTATTAATTTCTATGAATGGTTCTTAATACAGGTTTGACCCTATATCATAACTATTTACTATGAGCCCACCATGAGTTTTTCTTACAAAGATGATATCAAATTTATTAAAACAACCAAGAAAGCCCAAAAGTTTGAGGTTCCTGAGACCCCTCATGTTGGACATTGTCCCAGGGGGTGGGATATTAATGATGACTAAAAAGGTTGCTGCAGGGTAGGGAATTAGACAACCTAGTCTTTTGTCAAATTCCCACTCCCAAACCACTAGGGATCTATGAACCTTTGAATCTTCTTTCATTCAAAATGGTGACTTCAATTTCGAAAGGTGTAAATTTCCAACACTGTGATGGGTGGAGGAAATAATTTGATATGCTGATACGTTGCATTGGATATTGTTTCAATTAAATCATTACAAACCTGGACTTAAAAACCCAAGCCATTGAATTTAAAATATTGAGAGAGTGGAAGAGTCGGGGAACAAAATAAGCAAACATGAAGTCCTCACTTTGGATTGAACAGAACTACCAAAAAATCGACCACTACAATCAAACATTGTAGAATTATTGTGAAATATGTAGAAGCAGAATATTAATTTAACTTTGGGTGTTTCTGTCTAATGTTTCAATTTGTTCATGATTAATGCAATGGTTTGTAATACACACCCAGCTACTTTAAATGATTTTGCTAATTTGGAAAGTGTGTTCTTTTGATGATCAGTCCAGTGAGGTGTCTAATTTTAATCATCCTTCATCTGAGTTTCCATTGTATGAGGTAGGTGAGACAAAATAAATTAGTTCCCCGGAAACATGCTTTAGGTCTTTGTTTGATACCAATGATATTTCCATTTTTGTAATTAATTCAAATGTGGGGCAGTTGGCATCTGTCTGTACTATATATTATATGTTAATACTTAACTGGCAGCAAAAAATATCCCATAAAGGCATTATCATGGAAAACTCTTTATGTATTGTACAATAAAACTTGATTCAGAGAGTAAATTGCTGAATACAATTAATAATGTAAATCCATGGCAATGTATGCTCACAACCATTATAGCATTAATTTGCAGGTTTTGGATTTGGCTTTGAATGTCAGACAAATTTCTATCATAAGCACATATTAGTTATTTACTGCCATGTTTTGTATTTTCTGATTTTGCCACTTGTGCTTTATTGATTGAAGTGTCATTCACTCAGAAATGACCAGAGGGGCAAAGATAACTGTTAAATTTGATATCATCATTTTGTTATCAGATTTCTAACTAATGTGAAAATTATCAGATAAGATTTCTTTATATGTATTATTTTGATTGATCATAAATATGACCTGTGGATCAAAAATGAGAATCAATCAAGAAAATACTGTTTTGATCAATCAAATCCCGAATAACATAAAGCGATCTCTCACATAATGCGTCTCCCGAATTCTCCTATAGATGATACCTCAATCAAGGGCGTTACAATACCTGGGAATTTATCGGTTCGTGCAGTACTTGTTTGTGATAGCGCCCTCTGTAGGTCACTGTGCTTATAGCCTACAGTAATACGGGGTAGGATATCGGGAATTCGGTCAGTTTCTATCCGTCGATTTCGCTATGAATTGAAGCAAGTGTGACCACTTTATCCACTTTAACAATTTGATAATTGATTAAATCTTTAAACAAAATCAATAAACACGTTATACACTTCCTATCTCCTTAGAAATTAGCATGTATTAATGGATTGTGTTTTCGAACAAGGCTCAACCCAGACCAATAGGGAAATCCTTATGCTAATTAATATGACGTCATATTTTCCTGGGGAATCCTAGATTTCAAAGCCTCAGTCTGTTATTGTGTCAAATGTAAACGCTCTTTTGCAGACAGAAAATTGACAGATTAGCTTTTAACTTTCAGCTTTGATGTTTAAATATTCTGTATTTCTACATCATTCTGAAATTTTGATTGTGATTCATGATTGATTGGCAAGAAAAATAATTCCTATTGTTTTCCAGCGAAGTCAAAATGTTACAGCATGAGTTATAATGTCGAGTTTGCATCATGTTAAATTCTGCTAGTGATTAGAAGTCCATGCACAAGCATACACATAAGAGACAAACACACCCAGGCTCCAGGCCGTGGATGGAAATATAAAACTATTTAAGGCACAAACTGGTATTAATAGACCGATATGTAGTGTCTGCCATGTATTGAAGGTAAACCAATCTGCATTATTAATGTTTCTTCTATCAATACATGGATTGTGCAATAGAAAAGCAATGGCACAATCAAAAATGTGCATATCAATCGTGAATATCTCTCGGTTCAAAGCTTATTTCCAACAGAATTGTGTCAAAATATGTGTCTGAGTAACAGTTATACATTATAAGATCGCAAACTCTTACCAATTATCAGCCGAATGGCTCATTTTCAACGAAATGTCCTTAAGACAACAGCCCTGGGTCGCGCCTGAGACCAAAAACTACTTCAAATAGCCCTCCCCTAATTATATTGGATAATCACATTTATGCGTTCGCGCGCAGCTCATCCACTGAACGAAACACCACTTCCCGCTGAAATCACCGGGTATTGATCTTTCTTTCCTTGCCTCAATTACATTATTCTATATTTATTTTAGTAGGTTAATTGTTATGATGCAACAGTAGCTGCTGCAATGTTGTCACTGACTGGTCTTGACAGAAATATCTGAATTAGTGATCAATGGCTCTCGGCTCTTATCCAAAACATTAATGATTGTATAAGGTTGCATAATCATGATTTTGTACTTTCATTGTGTAACATTATCTCATGATTATGTAATCATTTCTTTTGTATACAATTATGCAAGCTCTGATCGATAGATAGCCATCTCCCCATGCCAAAAAGTGAAAACCAACTGAACAAAAACTGTTTTGAACTCTTGGACATAATGATACATTGCAAATCCAATAGCATCAGGATAATGTTCATTGTAGCCTTTAATTCATGACTTAAAACCATCATGTCCTCAATGACAGTGAATTAATAATTCACCATTTTTCATTATTCTGGCTACAAGAAAAAGGTAGCATGAACATTTATTGGAATATGTGTGTCTATTAGCAAAATTCCCATTTTTTAATTATGTAAACTTGTCAATTACATGATAAAACAAAGAAAATTTAGAATATTACACATACCTCACTGATATTGACTGAGTACTCCGCTTCACTAAATTTTGGTGGTGAATCATTGACATCTTTTATAGTGATGATGACAGAGATTAAAATCTGTAATGAAAGAAAGGCTGAGATAATATGGTATATCTTCAACTGTTGTGGGCAAGACAGATAACTAGCTAAAGAGCACTTTCTCTCTAGTTTATAATAACAATAATATAATATTATCATTTTGTTTGATGTCAGTTAACAATTTTAATCATAGATCCCGGCCAGATTCTTTTGTAGTAGAATCAGTAGCTCAATAAATATTCCTCAAGATGAGACACCTCAGAAAATTTCAAATTTTAAAATGACGATTGTGGAGCCATTTCTGAAAAATATGAGACAAATCATACCTCAATTGAAGCGTCTTGTTATTCTTTAACTTTTTTATCACCAATGATCGTTATTCAAGCAATACTGCGTTGATAAGAGGCCAAAACAGTGATATTTTATACTATTTTACAGACTCTTGTCTGTCCAAATCTGAATGGTGCTCCTGTGGTTCCAGAAATGTGACGTCATCAGTACAATGATATTTGGATACACAAGAGTCCGGATTTCGTGAAAAATATTCGCCGTATTAAAAGTCAGATAACTGCAACCATAGGTTATTTACTCAAACCAAACAAGTAGAAATAGAAAGATGAAGATCTCAGCTATAAAATAAGTGCAAAATCAGTGCCACAGGGAAGCAGGTACCATTTTGTATAAGGAACGTTTTGAAAGGTGGTCACTTTTTTTTAAATTTTCCAATTTGGTGTCATATCTTGTGTATTATTCTTTGAGCCTATGAGATCCTACTACAAAACGATCTGGCCAACATCTGTGATTTTAATGCAACTCCTGTAAATTATGCAAGGAACCAGGGCTACCTGGGCCGTTGATATTCATCATGTTATTAAAGTTACAATACCTAATTTCCTATACGGAAACTACCCACCATGCTTTGCTCTGCACTGAGGTCCCTACAGGACAGTTTGATGCTGATAGAGCTCTGTCCTGATTCTCCATCTCTTTCCAGTGGTCTCAAAAGGACCAGTTCCCGTGTAGCAGGATGGAAGCCTATGTGAGGATCACTAATATCAGTAATTTGTAGTTCTATTTCACTATTGTCTCCAGTTATGTTTAGTACAGACAAGACTGTACCTGTAACATGAAATACAGTCATTTAGTTATGTTGAGTACAGACAAGACTGTACCTGTAACATGAAATACAGTCATTTAGTTCTGTTTAGTACAGACAAGACTGTACCTGTAACATGAAATACAGTCATTTAGTTATGTTTAGTACAGACAAGACTGTACCTGTAACATGAAATACAGCCATTTAGTTATGTTTAGTACAGACAAGACTGTACCTGTAACATGAAATACAGTCATTTTGTTATGTTAAGTACAGACAAGACTGTACCTGTAACATGAAATACAGTCATTTAGTTATGTTTAGTACAGACAAGACTGTGTCTGTAACATGAAATACAGTCATTTAGTTCTGTTTACTAGAGACAAGACTGTACCTGTAACATGAAATACAGTCATTTAGTTATGTTTAGTACAGACAAGATTGCTGTAACATGAAATACAGTCAATTAGTTATGTTTAGTTCAGACAAGACTGTCCTGTAACATGAAATACAGTCATTTAGTTCTGCTTACTAGAGACAAGACTGTACCTGTAACATGAAATACAGTCATTAAGTTATGTTTAGTACAGACAAGATTGTACCTGTAACATGAAATACAGTCATTTAGTTATGTTTAGTACAGATAAGACTGTACCTGTAACATGAAATACAGCCATTTAGTTATGTTTAGTACAGACAAGACTGTACCTGTAACATGAAATACAGTCATTTTGTTATGTTTAGTACAGACAAGACTGTACCTGTAACATGAAATACAGTCATTTAGTTATGTTTAGTACAGATAAGACTGTACCTGTAACATGAAATACAGCCATTTAGTTATGTTTAGTACAGACAAGACTGTACCTGTAACATGAAATACAGTCATTTTGTTATGTTTAGTACAGACAAGACTGTACCTGTAACATGAAATACAGTCATTTAGTTATGTTTAGTACAGACAAGATTGTACCTGTAACATGAAATACAGTCATTTAGTTATGTTTAGTACAGACAAGACTGTGCCTGTAACATGAAATACAGTCATTTTGCTATGTTTAGTACAGACAAGACTGTGCCTGTAACATGAAATACAGTCATTTAGTTCTGTTTACTAGAGACAAGACTGTACCTGTAACATGAAATACAGTCATTTAGTTATGTTTAGTACAGACAAGACTGTGCCTGCAACATGAAATACAGTCATTTAGTTCTGTTTACTAGAGACAAGACTGTACCTGTAACATGAAATACAGTCATTTAGTTATGTTTAGTACAGACAAGACTGTACCTGTAACATGAAATACAGTCATTTAGTTATGTTTAGTACAGACAAGACTGTACATGTAACATGAAATACAGTCATTTAGTTATGTTAGTTAGGCATGAAGTGGCTTCTTGAGGGACTTGAGAGAATGGCAAACTGGGCAAGAATGATGTTTAAACCAGACAAGTCCAGAAGCCTCGTAATAGTAACTGTACCTGTAACATGAAATACAGTCATTTAGTTATGTTAGTTAGGCATGAAGTGGCTTCTTGAGGGTCTTGAGAGAATGGCAAACTGGGCAAGAATGATGTTTAAACCAGACAAGTCCAGAAGCCTCGTAATAGTAACTGTACCTGTAACATGAAATACAGTCATTTAGTTATGTTTAGTACAGACAAGACTGTACCTGTAATATGAAATACAGTCATTTAGTTCTGTTAAGCACAGACAAGACTGTGCCTGTAACATGAAATACAGTCATTTAGTTCTGTTTACTAGAGACAAGACCGTACCTGTAACATGAAATACAGCCATTTAGTTATGTTAAAGTACAGACAAGACTGTACCTGTAACATGAAATACAGTCATTTAGTTATGTTGAGTACAGACAGTTCTGTTTACTAGAGACAAGACTACCTGTAACATGAAATACAGCCATTTAGTTATGTTTAGTACAGACAAGACTGTACCTGTAACATGAAATACAGTCATTTAGTTATGTTGAGTACAGACAAGACTGTACCTGTAACATAAAACACAGGCATTTAGAACAGATAATGGTATTCACAAATAAAAACCTAGGTAGAGCTATCAATTTTTCTACATATATGTATAAGTATAGTCAACTGTACTGTACTTACCATTTTTATAATCTTCAGGTATATCATTGATGAAGATTGTTGACCCTAGTGCTATGTTCCCTTCCCCATCAGATGCTTTACACAGACCTACAACATAGCAGTAGGATATTACAATACATATATATTGATGAAGATTGTTGACCCCCTATGTACATAAGCATGGTTTAATCATGAGTGTGGCCCATGGTTTAACACATAGAAAAATGTGAAAATTCTGTCCCTATAAGAAGCTTTACTTGTATAATAATAATATGCCTATAAATTCATTATACAATGTATTGGATTTATTGCAAATGACTTTTTCTATGTATAATTTTCAGTTTCTATCATCACTAATATGTGTTATATTAGCAGGTGTCCTTAAGGTCTAATTGTCTGCCCCTACAATACATACATTTACCTGAAATCCAAAAAGTCATAATTTTAATGACATGTCATCAAAGTAAAATATACTGAGTCAAATTTTCAGAAAACAAACAAAGTGCATTATCACATTGTGTTAGTATGCTCATGATACAATAACACAAAAATGAAAATTGTTTTTGTGACCTATGGGTAAGTAGTACTATGTTGTATAAACCAACCACTTGAGTTTGATTCCTGCCAAAAAAGTCTAGAAATGCAAATTGTGCAGTTCATTGACATTTTAGAGAGAGTGTGTGATAGCAGTCATAACCAATCTGACCTTTGCCAATTTGATGACTCAATGAGCCTTGAACAAGTATGTACTGAACCTATTAACTTGTCATACAGTAGTTGTTGTTAAACTTCTGTCACAGAAACATTAACAACTTGACTTACCGACCCATTGTTTCAAAAACCAATGTTTTAAGGAGTACTTTATGTTATCAAATATTGAAGTATCAGAAGTTATATCAGAAATCAAATAAGATTATGTTACAAAAATTGGATAATTCTACCCACTAGACATTCACTAATACTAAATGACAATATTTGGGATTAAATATATTAAGGCACAAATATGTACCAATGTATAGAGAGTCAAAAGAAAGGTAATAGCTCTACTTGACCTTCTATTAAGATTTGGTTATAAGCTTAACATAAATAAAGGGGGATTAATCCCCAATATAATAAAATACCCCTTAATCCCTAATTATATAAATCATGAATATAAGTAGATAAATGTGTTTGAGTGTTTCATCAACAATTCTTGTGTTAAAAGATTGCTATTTAAATGTCAGTTAACCAGAGTCAAATGTCACTATCTGATCATACTATACAATGGCGATGGTAATGGCATACTGGAACTGTGATCAAACACAGAAATGCAAGCAAAGTGCATGCCAGATATCTTCTTAATTCCACCTGGCCTCTTTATCTACTAGCATATAATTCTTGGCCTTATATCTGAGCATTTTACTTACAACTTTTACTACATATATCCCTAAAAACAGACGGAATGAGATTGACACAAAAATGAAGCTCTTATCCCACCACCAATCTTTTATTTGACCCTAAAAGCCACTAAGAAACATTTGTAGAAAAGAACTACAAAGAAGTATCAAGACTAGAATTTAATTATTTATGTTTTGATTCACTTTACACACTTATGAAACATTTTATTGAAGCGGAACAGTGACATATAGAAGATGGTCCAAAGTGAAAAGAAAAAAATATTTCAATTCAGAAAAGTCCAAGAGATAAAAATCTCATTCATTTCTTCAAAGATTTTTCTTATTAGATTAAGGCTTTCGACTTGTATCCTCAAGTCTTTTTCAAGATTAAAAAAATATAACAGCATACATCTATGACGCCATAGAACAATGGAAGATTTTTTGTAACAAAAAGACCTAAAGTTTACCGTAGTAACGTAAAAAACATATACATAGGGACAATAAAACAAATGACCTACTAATAACGTTGAGATACATGTATACTATGATAATAATTAAACTCAAAATCACTGTGACATACTTTGCTATACATTCCTGTTAAGAAATATTAAAAGAACAATTTACAATATTTTGTGATACAAATTGACCAACTGATACCCATTATCTCTGTTCAATTTAGGCTGCGTTAATCATGTTTTAAAAATGCAAAAAACTAAAATAAATCAGTAAATGTCATTAATATATCATTTGAGTAATCCATTAGAAGTTTAGACAGGAACATTGTTGGAAGACACCCTGTTGTGCTACATAGTTGACCATGTTCACACGCAAGCAGCATTCCATATATCATATATTTATTTTACCAAAATGAAATAATTGCAGAAAAATGGCAAAAAATGGTTTTACACCACAGGAGCCCAGTTATAGCCCAGTCATAGCTAAATCATGTAGAAATCAAGCCAATATGAATCAAACCTTAATAAATATGTTTTTGCTGAGATGTATATTGATGTAGTTTATATGTTTACTGATTCACCATCAATTACAGTCAGTCTTGATTCACAAGGCATCAGTTAGCTCAACTGTATAAAAGTCTTGGAAGTTAAAGATGCAAATACCAAGAGCCATATATACAAACAGGTATCAATTATCTCTTTTCAAAATAATTTTGCATCATTTTTATCTGGTGATGGCTAAATTTGATTGGTTTTGAGGGAGCACACTTTCCACTCTGGATCTGAATGAAAATTTTAAACCATGTAAACATACAGGCCCGTAGCCAGGATTTGCCAAGGGGGGGGGTTCAATTTTCAAAAATTTCCAGGGGGGGTTCACATTTGACAATTTTGGCCCAAATTAGGCTAAAATCACTTGAGAAGTGCTCAAAATGGTCAAAAACTGCATGATTTTGAAAGAATTTTTGGCCAGGGGGGGGGGGGGGGGGGTTCGCGAACCCCCCCTGGCTACGGGCCTGACATATGAAGCCAATTTACTTTTTTCCAATAAATTAAGGATGAAGCAATCATTTATCTAAATAATGTTACATTTTGTTATTTATAATTATGACAAAATTATAAAATTTATCTAATAATATTTACATTCATTAAGTAAAGCTAATTTGAATGATGATTGACAAGAATTAGATTGAGAGCAAAATTAGCTTTACTTACTGAACTTATTTTTAAATATTTTCTCAGTATTCAGACATAAATTAAATCATAACATGATGCTCTTTTTGAAGTTACAAGCCATATCAGATCAAGGATATTTAACATCATTTTATGTATGCATATTATAGATATACTAGATATGAAAATGGCTTTTAGATGACCACAGACACAGCAGATCTCTTTTTGTTCACGTATTTGAAATAAATAAATACTGTAAGGTTAAATATGTAATTGGTCTAAAGTCTAGTTGGTATATTAATATTAGATATCACTGGCTGATCCAGAGGCTAACAAGCGCGCTAAAACCAAAAATTTGACCCAAAGGATTGGTATCGATATGGTGAACTGAATTCAACAATGTTTTTCTTTTCAACCAATTATTGAAAACATTCTGTAAAAACATGGTCCTTTATGTAATATTGACTGCTTGACAACAATTTAATGTGAAAATTATTTATAGCCCTTTATATATATTTCATATAACTGTTTTTGTTAACATATTTTTGTCTTTAAGTGCAATTGTTTTTTGTTCCTTTCTATTAATTCATGTGAATGAAATAAAATATCTTTCCGAACCTTGTTGGAACAAAATACATTGTAGCATATACTGGTTAATATGTATCTCTCATTGAATGCAAGACTTCAATAAGATTTCAAAGCTATAGCAAAAGCCTTCATTGATCGATGTAATGTAGCATGAAAACACACTCCATAAGATATCACATAATTATGACCAATTAGAATATAGTTCTATACTATCTTCATCATGCCCCAGCATCAGCTGTGGCATTATTTCCTCTCAGTCATGTGAAGAAGTGAAACAGAGTTGCAGCTTCTATAACATATTTGGCAAAACGCTACTTGTTCAATACTAATAGTCAACTCCATCTTTCACAATTGATATACCAGTCCGAAGGGCTAGTGAAATATCATCTTGTGAAAGTGCCACGATATTCACAGAATATAGAATCATCTTCAGTCACATCAATTGAATAACAAACTCTAGACCATGTCTAATCTATAATAACAAGGTAATCATGGGGGTGTATGTTTGTTTTCCAAAATGTTAAATTATAATGACTTTAATATGCAAACAAGTTTAGTGAAATACTGTTTGATAATGAATAAGACTGTTCACGAACACTTGGTAAAACAATTATAAAAATGCAAGCCAAACGGCAGAGCATGATGCAACATTAATGTCTCTCATAGGTCAGCATCAGCCAAGCACTGTTTAATTTTTATGTATTGTTTTATAATGTAAATTATGTATACAGTATCTGTTTTAGTATGTGAGACATAAATAAATAAAAATACTACTGCTGTAAAAGTAAAAATTAAAAAGATACACTCATAGTAGTCATGACTGATGAATATCATTTGATATGCACCATTCACATGTACAGACATTGAATATGGCTTCTTATTTTTCACGTCTTGTGTAGTACCAGAATGATGAATATGACAGTGATACAATAAAAGATATTTCACTTTCATGATTTTATAACATTGACTTCAGAGGTGAATACACATAGAATTTCCACGAAACCCCTACATGTTCTATGTGAATTCCACTCTTCAACTCAACCTTATTTCCCAAATAATAAATATCTCAACATTCTCACAACTATATTAAAACTTGGTGTGAAAACTTTTCACATGTACATATCAGGGGCGGATCCAGGAAGCAACAAGGGGGGGGGCCCAAATTTCAGATCAGAGAAAAAAACGTCCGCGCTTGTGCGAAAAAAAATTTGGGGCCCCTAAAATCCAAAAGTGGGCCCAAATTTTGAAATTTTTAGGCCCATTTTCTTCAAAATTTGGCCTGAAATTAAAAAATAAGGCCTTAAAAGGCCCAGTAATGACCAAAAAGGCCCACTTTTTTGGGCCTAAAGGCCTTATTTGGCCCAAATTTTGGGCCCAATTTTTTTTTCTGGGCCCACCCAGGCCCCCCCCCCTAATCCGCCAGTGCACATCCTGATTTCAAATATTGTGTGGCAAACAATTAGCCTAATAGCTGTGTGACAAACCAAGCAAATACATATTTTAATAATTGGGAATCTAAAAATATGTGAGTGTGACACCAGAGTTTGCACACTCCAGTGATGGTGTTTAATATACAATCTCATCATGCAATTATATATTGTACATCCATAGCATGACTCATGTGACAATAACATGCAACCACAACTGTGACAATCAATGTACCTGATAAAACCATCATATTAACCCTTTGAATTCTTGTAGTGCCAGGGGGAAATGACTCAGATTACAATGTTATATGTTTAAAAAAATCAGTCCCATTTATATTCATCTTCCTCCTTGTCTTCATTTCCAAAGAATACTAGGCTAAAGGGTAAAAGGATTCATCCACCATGACATAATAAACAATATATATAACAGTGATCATTCAATTCCATGCAATCTTCACCTGATGTTAAAAATGAGGAATTCAGTCCTAAAAACTCCTGCCAGAAAGCATTGTCAGGGTTAAAATCTACAAGAAGCAGACATGGAGGGGTTAATTAAGAAACAATAGTAAACATGTACAACTGTATACATCTGTACAAACAGCCACAATTTTTTATAACTGTGATTATAATTCATTATTAAAACATTGGTGACCTGTGATTGACAATAAGCAATTAAATGTATCATTTCATATAAGTAGGCAACACATATTTCTGCTAATTTGTTGAATGAGGTCTTAAAACATCTCTCCCAGGACATCTCTATAGTGTGATTTGAGTGTTTAGTAGATTTGATATAGACCATTTTCTTACTTGATCATGGGATTGTTGACTTTATTATTTGCTTAACCTTAGAGAAATAAAATAGTGTCAACAACTTGTTAGCTCATAGAACTAAAATGTTAGAATGATCATGTTCATTTCTATTCACTAATCAGTTTCTTTCTAAGTCTTATTTTCTTGTATTTCAATAAAGATTAAATCTTGTCTATGTCTTTAATTTTCAAATACTTTCCAGACTTTGAAGCAGTATGCATAAGGATATCCAGCTAAATAGATATTTCATGCAGGGCACAATACATAAATATTTCACTTACCTTCACATTTCACCTGAATCTTGAACCCATATAGCATCAGGAGTAAGATCACCCATAGTTTCTGGCTGGACCTGATTGCTCTTTTCTCTTCCATAATGGTTTCCATATACTAGACTCTATCTGTGTTGAAATATCCTCTAAATATTCAAGTTCGAATCATGTTCCCCAAAATCATCAATTTTACATTCCTCATCTGTATGTATTTTCTATGGTGTATACTATCAGATATCCTTACAGACTTCTTTTCTTAAGTTGCTGTTTTATTTTCAACTTTCACTTTTCCAACTGATCACATTAGTGGAATGTTGAGGTTATTGTTGAACTGTTCTTTTCATTCTTCTTATGTAAATCAATTGTTAAGAGTAGAAACATTAACCAATAATCTAAATCCAGTGTAAGCACCTGAAATATTCAAAACAAGATTGAGTTTCAATTTAAATTCAAAACCTGAAACCTGACTATTTGGAAAGTATTCTAAAACCTTTCCTGGTAAAATCTCAATTTTATGTTTGTACCAGTGACCAATAAGACTTAAGGTAGTTCTGTACATGTACATGTATGTGCAAAAATGTTAATGGCTTATAATTAGAGTTAAAGGTGCAACAATTAGTGCAATTCAACGATTATTGACCAGTGTCAAAATATATTTAAGTTTGGATATTTCATCAAGATTAACATATATTTTTATTATCTACAAAGAAACACTCTGGATGAACATTATTTCGGCTGATATACCTCTTGAAACGTAGTGAATCTTAAAAAATTTTAAGTGGGACTCCCTTTATAGAAGCTTTGAACTGAATTTACACTTCTTAATCCTGAAGTTTAGAGTTTATCCATACGTTCACAAAATAGGTATGTCAAAGAAGATGTTAAGCCAAATTGACCTGATAGCTCAGAAAAAATAAAAAAATTTGAATTTTCTCTCTACAGTCCTTGTTGCCCTTTTAAGGTACTTCTTATAATTAGAGTTAAGGTAGTTCTGTACATACATGTATGTTCAAAAATGTTAATGGCTTATAATTAGAGTTAAGGTAGTTCTGTACATACATGTATGTTCAAAAATGTTAATGGCTTATAATTAGAGTTAAGGTAGTTCTGTACATACTTGTATGTTCAAAAATGTTAATGGCTTATAATTAGAGTTAAGGTAGTTCTGTACATACTTGTATGTTCAAAAATGTTAATGGCTTTTCTGTACATACATGTATGTTCAAAGATGTTAATGGTTTATAATTAAAGTGCCAAATCATTTTCAAATACACATTTTGAAAAACTCACTCCATATACAGTTTTCAGTTTTACACAAAAAGTACATAATAAGGTTTTTCTAAATTATTAGTTCAGCACAGATATTTTAAATAGGTATATATAAAAAAAGAAAATATTAAATTTTATGTAAAATTCAAGATACATTGTATCTCCATTTTCTGAATTAAAACAGAGGATATCACCCTGAAACTAGCATATGAGGAATATTTTATTAATGTGTTTGATCTAAGTTTAATAAAACTCATTTCTATGTTGTCATTAAACATCATATTCCTTTATCTGTAGGTGTAGAATTCATGCTGATATGGATTATTTACCAATACAGGAGTAAAACAACGAAATTAATTGATGACAACCTGAATTGAAATAATGTCACATTGCAATATTCCATCGGTTAATATTAATAATATATATAAACGAATGAAACACATCAGCAGACTGAAATTATGAGATTGCCCTCTTTGAAGAGAAATGATGACTCAGTCGACAGTCAGTAAGCTTCAGACTAATTTGATGCAGAAGCGTGATTGACATTGCATGTGCTGGTAAGTTCCTATGTGAATAACCAGTTTTCAGGTGCATAAATGCACCTTTGGGCTGAGTTTATCGAAAATGTCCTGCTCCTAACATTGACCTAATCAATCTATGACATCCCATACACATGTCAAATACCAGAAAAATCATAGTGTTTCTAAACCATTAGACACACCTTATTAATGATATTCTGTAATCGCTGACTAGGCATCGAGATAATTTTTCTCTTACTGACAGGATTTATTTGAGCCCTGTAGGTTAACTCAGAGACATATAGTCTAAATTGTGTACTCACTTCGGTTCTGATTCCAATATCCAGAGCAAGGCCTTGATTCAGAGCGCGCATAACAAACAAATATTGAAATGTTGAAACTAATTCTGTGTTGTTTCCCGTTTTTAGGTCGTGATCAATGCTTTTTAAACTCCTCAAATGTGTTCATGTCAAAATTTGTTAAAGCAAGCGCAACGTGATTAAGAATTATTTGTAATACCAGTCAATGAAAGTTCATTTGTGATCACTAGCCAACTTTTGACATAAGATCTTTTATTGAACACTTTGCGCTATTTAGTATTTACCTTTAACTACACACGCACATTCATGAATTGATAGAACCTAATTATACCACTCCTTTCAGAAACAAATTCCATTTAAAGATGGCAGTCATATATAATAACCAAAAATTGGGTATATATTATAGTATATAAAGCGGCAATTTTAAATCCCACATCATGCACACAAACAGTGATGCAGACAGATCGCCTAAAATTACATTCGTATGATGCGAGACTCGACATTCAACAGGAGACTAGAAATATTTTGTCACCCATGAAGCAAATTAATTTTATAATAAATGGTGAATGAAAGTCACATTTTAGAATTGCATGACGTCTTGATATTCCAAGGTAACTCGTTTGAAAAATGATGGCAGTGATTGAAATTGCGATGTAAACACAAAACCACCACGAAATATTTTTAGATTTCTTTGAAAAAGTAAGAAATACATATCTCATATCGAGTTTTTCAAAACAGAAAAAACAAGTAAGGCCTGCAGATCCGAATCCATGGGCGTGGGGCTCCCGGTGGGGCTATATTTTGAGTTGGTACGCTTATGCCGTGGTCACATTTGCTCCGATTTTCAGCACCGGCGCCCGGCTGATGAGTATTTTGTTCAAAATTGAATACAATTTTGAACAAAATACTCAATCGGTCTAGCGCCGTATTGAAAAATGTGACCACGGCATCACTTGTGCGCAGAGTAGACGGGAAGCTGATTTAGAATTTTGAACCATTTCAAAGTTCGATGGCAACCATACCGTTCTGTGATTTGGTCCTTTTTCCATAAAGCTTTGAAATCTTGTTAAAGTCTCGTTTTAATGAGATTTTAGGAGATCTACATTTTAAAACATTAAGACTAACATTTTCTTCTTTTTGATGCCATATTTGAATTCTGTGTGCAATTTTCTATCAAAACATCTTTGTTTTGCAACATATGAGTTGTTATATACCTTTATTCAAATTCTAATCATTTTCTAGTTGTCTAAAAAAGGTCGGGCGAAATCTCCATTGACACAATGCTGAAAAACCTTTAAAAGTTCATTTACTTTTACAAGGATCACAATATCCACATGTCAATAAGATCATATAGTTACATTCCAATGGAGTTTTAAGTTGATCCAAATGGAATTATTTCTTAAATCAAGAAATTAAGTGACTCTGGCAATACATTTACATGTATTCAAGCCCTAACCTAGCCCTACCAATACCCATTATGCCATCTATTTTTCATTTATATGGGAAAAGGTCAGATCGTGGGACGATCGTACTTCAAACGAGATGTACTCACTATAGACTACGAACGTTATACGTACTTCGAGCCTAGTTCTAGAAATGCGTGACGTCGTGCAATCGGATATTACTTGCGTTTGCACCGACCCCGGTGTCAACGTTTATATAGACCGTACTAAATATGGTCCCTTAGACTTGTCAACGTCTTTATAGTCCGTCATTATATATAGTCCTGGGTTATATTGTTTACCAATACAGACATTATGGTCCAGTTAAGAGTGTGTATGGTCTCACGGACCATATATTCAGGGAGACTATATTTAGTATTTACTCTGACACTGGGACACCGACATGCATGGTGCGATCTGAACAAACTGCGAATGAGATGGAAATTGGAGAAGTGTATGAATGAAGTAGCTTATTATGTTTAACATATTCCCCGACCACAGCGATATGAAGCCCCTTTTACAACTTTTTGTGAGACTGGAAAGAACGGTTGAGAATTAGTTTGGTGTGACAGGGGGGGGGGGTTAATTGTCAAAATATATCGGAGAGTGATGTACAAGCTTTCGGTCGAGGGGGGGGGGGGGGTGCGATCGCCAAAAAACGGTTTTCACTCGGGGGGGGGGGTGCGATTTTGGCTCACCCCACTGACTACGCCTATGTGATAGATTCCAGTTTATTGGCATCGTTGTGCTTTTAAATCACATTTCAGTACGTTTCAAACTAATGTTCTCCGTTCTAAAACTCAAAATCATAGGTACAAAAAGAATACATATTGAAAGTGAACACTCAAAAATTCCATCATATTTGAGAAAGTTATTCCAAAATTAGAGGGTAAGGAAGCTCACTTCAAAATGTACATTGTATATGGTGCATTCTAGATCTAAGCATTCAAACTATAAGTTAATGCTCTTTCAACAAATTTTACAAAATTCCAGTTACGCCCATGAGAGGCGTGCGTTTCACAGAAATATAGAGTATATAGGTGCTACAGACGCCGTCTCTTATTGTTAATTATGACAGTAACAATTAATATGTCAACAACCCTTAGGTTTGAAGTTAAAAAGCACATTCCCAAAAGAATATCATCGGGCGATCTTCTCACTTTAAAAAACTCCTCTGATACAACATCCAGTTAAAATTTATTTAGTTGACCTAAAATTCAAAATAAGAGCTGTCACAAATATACGGGCAAACACATACGATATAATTGTTAATTGTGGAGAATACATTCCTCAAACGGGTGTGGCTTTCAAGAAATCTTTATCTGTGATATTGTCTAACTTACTGCATCAACACCTGTTGTTTAAGGATTTAAGCCCTGTGCTCGGAGCATTGCGTGCTGAATCATTCCTCTGAAGGTGCTGATTTCAAATCTGCATGACCGCACAGAGGGAATGCAAAATTTAGGAAACAATGCCTGAGTTGAATAAATCAGCCCCAATGCATCAAGTCTTGGGCTTAAATTCTTTTCACACATTCACCGGTCGGTATGAAGCAAAGGGAATAGCTGTTACCTTGGCATTTAAGATATTTGTTTTACTTTTCATCGAATTAAACTCGTACTTTATAGTTGGCGTAATGCTTTGATATTTGAACTAATATGACATAGAAACTTTGGAGTACGATCATATTTGTTCATATATCGTGCGTGGGCACCACGGTTCTAAAACTAATCTAGTATGTCTTCCACCGCTTAGGGAAGGTAACTGGAAATATATGATACGGTAACGGACATGAAACCAAAATCATCTTGAAACAATAAAAATATGGCTTCTGATGTTGACTGATAAATGGTGGGTGGTAACTAAAAGAGAACAATGGATTGAAATAGTTAAACAGAAACCATTACTTCTAAAATGCCATTATTATTTGTCCATAAATCATGACATTAATTTGACAACGTATATTTATATATTGAGTCATACGCAACACATTTAATAAATGTGTTAAAACATCCAATCTTAAAGGGAGACTCAACCCCTTGATTATTTCATAAAGTTATAACTCTGACCATTACTTTGGTTGGATATGAAAATTATGCAAACATGTCATACACTATACATGCATGTGGATTCATATATTATATTAGATGTCCATTCAAAACTCTGAAAGTTTTTTTGAGGTGTTATGTAAAGGAGTCCTAGTGGTTTACCCCATACCCAATATGTAACACTAATCCTGATTGGTCAATACCTAGTCACCTGTTCCGAAATAGATTTACTATTTCCCTCGGAAAGTTATATTCCCTCAAATGTGACGTCAGCGGGAATATACATTTGAACTATTGCCCGCTGACGTCACGATTGCAACTTCTATTACCCTTGGAAACGTCTGCGCATCATCACTGCGCAGACGAAAAACAGAAAAATGGAGGATGAGCACAAACACAAATCAACTTCGTTCACCATGACAGACGTGCGTGAACGCTACAGTATAAGCAACGTGTATAAAGTTCCCTAAGCTAAATACGTCTGTGTAATTTCAAGTGTTATGATAATCTATTCCGCGTGTTAAACGCGATTGAATTTGTCAAGTGAGAGTCTCAGAGGCAAAAATTTCTGTTGAGCATCTGATGACGTCACAGCTTATAATGCTAACAATGGACCCGGGGAGGGGGCTTTCTAAGCCTTTTTGGCCTTCGCAGAGGAAACGGGACAAGAGTCAGTATAGGGTTTATAATAAAACAAATAGTGACTGCCTAATTTCGAGCAATAGTGTAAATGATTTCCCCTTGGTAATATCCTCTACAATGTACTATTCCCTCAGCCTGCGGCTTCGGGAATAGTACATTGTAGAGGATATTCCCTCGGGGAAATAATTTACACTATTGCCCTCAATGGCAGTCACTATTTGTATAATATTATACAACAGGTCACTGTGTGGTTTTTTGAATTTCTGATGAAAGTTGCACTGTAACATTCAGTACTTCTATGTAAGGTATTATTATGGACAAAAATATCTGAATTTAAGGCAGGCCATAAGCGATTTTTCTTTGAGATATAACTCCTTATTAGCGACTGTGCCTCAGCTGTTGCCCATTATTAGTAACTGTCCCTCAGCTGTTGCCCATTATTAGTAACTGTCCCTCAGCTGTTGCCCATTATTAGTAACTGTCCCTCAGCTGTTAGCATTAACAGACTACGATCCTTATCAGCTGTAGTGTCACATCACAAATTAATCCCCAGCATTGGCTTTCTCAAACTCATAAAAGTCATTTCATTTCTACATATGATCCTTGCATTTATTCATCTTGTTTCAGTTGCTCCACTGTGTTATCACACCTTTGAAGTCGAAGATATCATTTCTGTGAATGCTTCTTTGCCTGTGTACTTGAAAGGCTAGCTACTGCTCCTAAGTAAATGTTCAGTGATCTGTAGCATATATGAACTTCTGCCTCAAAATGCCTAGCCTGCAAATACATCAAAACATGTTAATAAGAGATAACAGAGGATTCTCATTTTAAAGGACATTATGACAATCCATGGATTGACACCCAGGTATGTTTGTTTTTCAAATCTCAGGGTGATAATTAAAGCTTTTGATGAATGCTGTTTTAAAAAGGTTTAAATTGTGGCAATAAGTGCTGAAATCATGCAATGTGTACAATTGTAATACCTTTGCATCCATATCCAGATTGTGTTATGCATGAGATCCAGCAAGACTAGAAGGGCAATGAAGATGCAGATTGTGTGGCAAGTACTCTGGATGATTTCACGTCCTGCATTTACAAATGGTAAAATGCGAGATTTTACCTCCATTTTGTAGGAATCTCTATTCAAACTAGAAAAACAGAAATGTGAAGTAGATGAAGTGAAATATTACAACATGACATTTATTTAGCATTTATGACTCATGAGAAAAACATCCCATTATACTGCAGCATCCATGTACGTACAATATTCCTCAACAATGGAACAACTGAACATATGAATGATGATAAATGTTCTTTTCAAACTGATAACCCAACTTGTATGTGAGTTATAAAATATTATATTATATTTTTTACCAAAAATGGTGGCCATTTAGCATTTAGCAACCACCTTAAAATTCCTTCTTAAATAAACTTCTGGTAAAGTGGTAAACACATCATTAAAAAATTCCATCAGCGTGAGTCTATTGGATTTGATAATCCCAAAATAATGACTTCGATTGTCTTTGGATTCCCTGATTTAAAGAATTATTAGGGTCCTAAACTTATAATTGTAAAAATATTCCCTTACTTTGCTTTCGTCGATCTAACTAAATATATATCACATTATTGACACTTTCCATGTAAAATACCAAGAGAACTTGAACATGATGTGGCCATATCAACATCATGGAACAAACTGACTGAGGTCGTGAACTCTACCCTTGTCAGCTGTGAATAGAGTCCTATGTTCCTAGGGCATCAGCATATCTTGAAAATTTCTTCCTAAACAGGGCTTCAGCATTTGAAATTTGAACTAATTCTGTCCACTAGTATTTGAATTATCAAAGTTTCTTTTGAAAAATTGTGACTTGGTGGCCATTTTGATTCCTTCTCAAGACAAAGTCCTATTCCCATATACAATCAAAAACCAAATCCATCAATCAGTATTTGAGTTATCATCAGCGCAAATTAACGATTTATCCCAACAAGCATTGTTCAGCGGGATATTATGGTGTAATGATATATATACCAAGCGTGACTGCCAAACTAATCGAGATATTGAACAGAAATACGAAAGTGCTTTAATTGAAAACAATCATATTCGGTTCCAAAAATATGTTCTCGGGGTTCATAGAAAAGCCACAAACATGGCAGTAAGAGGAGAATTGGGAAGAATACCTTTGGTAGTTGATATTATAAAAAGACAAATCAAATACCTCGGTCATTTAGAGTTGAGTTCAAATGGGAGTTTACTAAACGATTCATTAATTATGAGTAAAACATTTGATTTAACAAATAACACATTTACATGGCACAAACAACTCAAAAATATACTGTGCCATATTGAAATAAAAATGTCTGATGAATTGAATCTTGAAGATAGGGTAAACATAGAGTTGAGCACGAATAGGCTTGCTATTAAAGTCAAAAGGAAACTAATAGAGAGATATCAAGTATATTGGAAGAATCTGATAAGTGGGAATGGGGGGAAACTTAGATTATTTAAACAACTAAAATCGCACTTTGGATTTGAACACTACCTTTCAGAAACGACACTTTCAAATGCTAAACATTTAACTAGATTACGTATAAGCGCCCACAATCTAGAGATAGAGAGAGGCCGATATACAAAACCAATTACTGATCTTAATAGTCGATTTTGTAAAATATGCAAGGACTCGGTTATAGAAGATGAAACACACTTTTTATTCAAATGTAAAAAATTGGAGTTTATCAGAAAATCCCATATTGAAAAACTTGAAAACCTGTGTCGTAATTTTAAAAACATGAATGACCACCAAAAGACAATTTTTCTATTGACGAGTGAGGGGATCATATTAAAAGAATCTGCTGACATGATAAAGTATCTAATGATTGGTAGAGACAGGATTCTTATATCAAAGTAACATTTTATATGTCACTTGAAGAATGTAATCCTATTTTCTTTACTTTATTGCCTATATTTACTGTTATTGAAAATTGTATATTGGATGTACGTTTGGCCCTAAAAGGGCATCAGTACTAATAAAATCCTATTATTATGCAAGAATGATTCATACATTTAATCTCACCTTTGAAAGAAGTAAGCACCAACATTAGGAAGTTCACAGCTAGTGACTTCCATTCTAAAGTTTTGACCTTTCTGCTGATCACATGACTCATCTTGTCCTGTAATCTCTTTCAACCAAGCACAATACTCTTTCCTAACTATAGATCTGGAGTGCTCTTTAGCATCTTGGAATGCCTGTAGAACCAGTTGGTGGCGTTTTAGTCGTGCATTGATAACTTTCTCAAAGAATGGAAACTCAAGATCATTGATCCTCTGTGCTCCTGTTAAAATTCTTTGATTTACCATTTTGTGGCTCGTCACCACTGGCTGAATCTGGAAATAATATAAACAAACAGATCACAATATAGCACTCAAGGGTGCGACAATAATGCTCTATATATGGAAAGGATTAAACTGATATAATCATGATAATCACCTGACCAGTATCTGAAAATTGAAAATTACAAACAAATAATTTACTAATATCATCAATGATAAATACAGAGACAAACAGCAAAGCAGACAGGGTTTTGAAAGACATGTGACAGCTGTAGAAACTACCTGGCATGTCCACCAACTAATCAATTCGAAGCTTCCATTCCATAAAACATCTCTTGAAAACTGTTGACAAGATTAAAATTAATTAATTAAAACCAAAAATAAGCAGGCGTTTACCAGTGAGTTGAAGTAGCCAATGGACTCCAGAGTGTTAACACTTAGTAAGGTTGCACCAATCTGCACAAGATAGACCATTATTGCACCTACACCTACAGCAGTGACTAGCTTAGGTATGACATCTGTATCAGTCAGCTGTAATAACAGAACATACTTGGAATCAATTAAACTATTCACAATAATTTCACCATGGACACCTCAAACCTTTTTCACTTGAACCAATCTAATTATTTGTAATTCCCTATTGTAGTTCCCAGTATATTTGGCAAACCTTTACCTTCATATGGAGGTGTCTGATAGAGAGGCATATACTCTGCCAGCCCCCTGATTGGGTGCTGCTGCTATCATCCAAATCTAAAAAACATATACACAATTCACATAAATGGAAGTGACTGCAAGAGGTGTTTGCAAGATCAGCAAATTTCAAAAAACTAAAATCATGAAAAACAGTAGCTTTTGACCAACTTGTCAGTTACAAAATATGTTTACAAAAACTTATGGTAAATCTCAAGGATTTTGTATATATGCAGTGAGTTTGTCTAATGATGTTAATTGGCTGAGATAGCATATCAAAGTAAAGAACTAAAGGTGATGACAGTGGAATTTGCAGACAAATGGTATGATGTTGCTTGATCAATATTTGAAATGAAAGATGTGAAGTAATAAATTATGAATTTGGAACAGGAAAATGTACTCAAATGTCCTGAGAAACAAATTTTGATGAACATTTGTTGAGATTTCATTGTACAAAGTTGTAAAATCTATCATTTTTGAAAATCTTTTTTTCAATCTAGCTATCAAAACATTTAGAGAATTTAAACATCAATATATTTCTGGTAAGATTTAATACATGCATGTAAAAACAATGAAAATGTTAACCTACTCTTGATACAATTGACTACAGTAGGGCATCCATTCAAGACAGACTTGACAGTTAACCAAGTCCTGATGGCACGGTGAGCTAACCAAATGATATCAACACACACCACAAACACAACCAGTGTCATGAGTGCCACAGGGAATTTATCCATGTACCCCTTGGAGCGAATCCCCCTGGTTTGAGGTGGTACTCGTGTGATGTTTTTATAAATGAACCATTTGTTTGTTGGGAGAGATGTGCTGTCCCTTGATGGATTATTTGGTGGTTTTGCAGGCGTATCCTGGGTAGATGGTGAGAGAATATCATCAACTGTCAGCATTGGGAAGGATTTGAAGGTCAGATCTACAATGTAAAGTATAATTTTTGTATAATAATACAAGATATAGTACATATTTAGAGCCTCACTCTCAGACAATACAGTATATCGCTGTTGTATTTGTGGCATGAAGAACAACAATTAGATTCTTTACTAGAAATTCAACCATAGACAATTTGTATTATAGTCCATGGATGATATTAGAACTTCTTTTAATAATAAAGAAGTTATGTAAATATGTGTCGAGTTAAAACTCCATTATATTCCAAAGGTTTTAGTTATATGGCCCATTGATAAGCCAAATCTGATATTTAAGTTATTGAAAATTTCCTTTTCATGTAAAATTGTGGTCATTTAAAATTTAGTGGCCATCTTGAAAATTTCTTCTGCAGCTGAGGTATTATATTTCAAAGTCATCAGGACATAAAATTTGAACCAAATCCATCAATTAATATTTGAGTTAATGCCTGGACAGACATTTAGATGGTTGGATGAACAAATATAGGGACAGCTTGTCTATGAGTATGACTCTACTCAAACTGCATGGTGGGATAGCAGTTAAAATGTATATCAGTATTATTTATTATATACATTTATTCAGTATTACTAAAACTAATATTATATATGTACTTCTAAAATGAATAGCAAAAAAGTATAAGACAATTATTGCTCATTATTAGTACCTTAAGCAAACAATTTACATTCTATAAAAGAGAAAGCACTTTCATAAAATCATTATTTAAAAGATATGATTTACTTTTAACAGAGTAATATGCTACATGAAACCTTCAATATTTAGGCTAATACAAATGGTATCATGTTATCAACTCCCATGACAGTGGTAAGTTACAACTTGTAGATTGTGGCTGGCAAATTCAATTTGTTTGATATTTAAAAACACTCAAAACAAAACTAATTTTATAGTAATTTCAAATGAATTCATTTGCACCAAACTAAGTACTGGGAATGGCAATGGCTACAATCACTCCATTTGATGATTTAAAGAAGGGAAAGGGGTATACTTAATCTTATCCCTGTTAATAATCAAAGATTCTAGAATATAAATGTGGATGGATTTTTGAGAGAACAGGAATAACTGACCATGGCCAAGAAAACAAACCTGGACATGAATATTCTGGAATAATTTGTCGAATGAACTCAGGCCTTTGAGAGTATAGATCGTCACTTTAGGATATTGGGATTATCCCTTGTCCAATATAATGTATCTGCCCTTGGGACCTACAGCCCTTGAGGCAGATATATTATATAAGCCTTGTGATCATCCCAATATCCTGAACCTCATATAGGATAATTTCTATGTATGCGCATTGCGCAACACATAACATACTCTCTTATTGATTTTTCAAGAAAGCTTAGTCTCTACTAACCTCTATAAAACTACCTGTAAAGCAAACAGATCTAATACGTTTGTGCTATTTACGATAAAAGTGGCTATTTAGCTATTTTGAAATACGTATAAGCAAACATACTGAAGTACAGTTACAGAATCAATTGTGAAAAACAGGCCAAGAGTTTATTCAAAGAACGAAGCATCAAACTTTTCACGTATCATCAGAACACCATTTGTTGTGATTTGAGCGCAATAGCCCTAAAATTATAGACATGAAGATGATTCCTTATATGCTTTGAATGGGGGGGGGGGATAATTGTGATACATAATGAGCTTCGTTCCATCAATGAACTATTATTTCACACTAAATTCTGCTACTATTAAGGGCACGTTTTACAGTCTGTGTTAGTTCAAGATGAAATACTGTAAATCTATTTTCTAATACAATAAGGACTGTGATTTGTCATCACAGCAAAAGTAAAGTGAAATCAGATTCATTACTACCTGAAATGAAGTTTTCCAATGTATTATCAGTCCCGATCCATTGCATGAATAGTTTGGTATTCCATGTGTATGCTAATCAATGTAACCAAAATATTAAAAATTGCCAAGAATTATTCTTTTTCAGAATAATAATTAGTTCACTATTCTATCTTACAGATGTCACCACATGTGCATACAATGATCAGTCTGTGTAAATAGCATCATTCCAAATTAAAATTGATAAAAACTAAAATGTTTATTGTATATAAGAACAAATCACTGGCCTAGTGTAATAATAAATATAAATCAAGGCAAAAGCACTGGCTAGGTGACATTTCTAATAATTCCCATAGCATTGAAGGACATCGTGTATATCTCAATTGAACTCAACAATTTATAGTCTGCATCAAGTTTAAAGGAAATTTTTCAAAACCATGGTCCATTTATATTTCAGAATGTTTGGAGAATGGCTTTGTGGGAGGAAGTGTTGGATGAGATATTGTTTATCTTTAAAAAAGATATAATGTTTATTTAATAAGACAGACAGTTATATACTAAATTTAAAGATTTTGGAAGTGAGATATACCCTGATGAGTTAAAGTTGCAAAAGACAAATGGATCCAACAGAACTTTGCCTTATTTGGACCTTCTAATTCATAGTGAACAAGACAATAGAACATTGTAATTTATATGATAAAAGAGTTAGAGTTGCAAAAGACAAATAAATCCAACAGAACTGTGCCTTACTTGGACCTTCTAATTCATAGTGAACAAGACAATAGAACATTGTAATTTATATGATAAAAGAGTTAGAGTTGCAAAAGACAAATAAATCCAACAGAACTGTGCCTTACTTGGACCTTCTAATTCATAGTGAACAAGACAACAGTTCAGTGTAAGTTATATGATAAAAGAGTTAGAGTTGCAAAAGACAAATAAATCCAACAGAACTGTGCCTTATTTGGACCTTCTAATTCATAGTGAACAAGACAATAGAACATTGTAATTTATATGATAAAAGAGTTAGAGTTGCAAAAGACAAATAAATCCAACAGAACTGTGCCTTACTTGGACCTTCTAATTCATAGTGAACAAGACAACAGTTCAGTGTAAGTTATATGATAAAAGAGTTAGAGTTGCAAAAGACAAATGAATCCAACAGAACTTTGCCTTATTTGGACCTTCTAATTCATAGTGAACAAGACAATAGAACATTGTAATTTATATGATAAAAGAGTTAGAGTTGCAAAAGACAAATAAATCCAACAGAACTGTGCCTTACTTGGACCTTCTAATTCATAGTGAACAAGACAACAGTTCAGTGTAAGTTATATGATAAAAGAGTTAGAGTTGCAAAAGACAAATAAATCCAACAGAACTGTGCCTTATTTGGACCTTCTAGTTCATAGTGAACAAGACAACAGTTCATTGTGAGTTATAAAAGGGAGATGACTTCAATTAAGATATTTTGAATTTTCCACATTCGGATAGTAATATAGTTAATATACATGTATCTCCTGAAACAAAAAGGTCAAGGAAATGAAGGTGCATGTGTTTGAATAATGGATAGTGTAGTGTAAGCGTACTATATCACCCTGTACAAAGAAATCTGACCTACACAATATGGATACGATAAGTGATGAGAAACACCGACAGATATTTGGTGCACTGATGTAAGACATACCCATGATTGGATTTGTAATGTTAGAAAGATCCATACTCAAAAGTGAAATGGATACGAAGTGAAATCAAAAATTCTGCATGTTTTCTTTTTGATTGTTTCCAAGAAATGGTACTTTTTCTGCATAAAATTCATTGACATTGCATTTTCTAATTGTTAATAAATCAACCTGTTAATAAACCAAACTATTTCCTATTGCAGCCTCAATTCTAGTTGAAGCAGTACAATGATTCATTAAGAGGAAAAGCAATGGTTGTGCTAATACCAGCGTGTTTGGATGAGACGTGAACATGAGTGAACTCATACACATAGCCATTTCTCATTGCACATTCTATTTTGAAGAAGAAGAAGAAAAGAAGAATATTTTGACTGCTGATTTGGATAAAAATAATCAAAGACCGTGTTATTTCCCATATATGAAGAAACAAAAGCATATTGTACATGTATACTATAAAATGGCTGATTCTGTAGATCATGTTTATACTCAACTGAGTATATGATATATTCAAGAGTGACCGAATGGTTAGGTCATATCACTTCTAAGAGGATGTATTTCCTATCGTATATGTATTCATGGGCTTTGTTGTCTTTTAAAACCCCATGGTGTATGTTTGTACATCTTGACATACAGTGAATTTATCAGTGTAATATTGCCATGCAGTGTACTTCTATGCCATCAAGCATAACATATGATGTCATATCATTTATATAATAAATAGAATTGCTCTACTATACTGTGTTCAGGTTGGCTTGAGTGTGATATATCGTACTTAGCTATGTGAGAATGCAAAGTAAATAATGTAATAAAGTCTATACATGCAGAGTTAAAATAAACATTTGCTCTCTCTGTTCTATCTGCATTATATCCAAATATATTTTCTCACTTAAAGGTATATTCCTTTCAAACCAAATGCCATCACAAAAATATTTTGGTATGATCTGAGTTGATTATCTAAATTCACTGGTCATTTCCAGTATGCTCACAGGTGATCCACTCGATTACACTGGTTACCGAACTGGTTCATTTCGGTAACAAAATGCCGGAACGTCGAAGGTACGATTTAAATTTTTTCCTTACTTCACGTTGTAAGCAGAATCCCCACGATATTTCTTCACACAAACGTGTATCAGCATCATATGTTTTAGAAAATGTACATGTTTGCGAAAAAATAGCTCAGAAGACAACAGAATCGTTTATTTTATTCCTCACTTAAGTTCCAGAAATGGTATGGGTTAAAAGTGCAGATCCTAACTGTTTTTCAAAATACCGTTTCTGTAACTTAAGTGACGAATTAAACCGATGATTCTGTTGTCTTCTGAACTATTTGTTCGCAAATATGTACATTTTCTTAAACATAAGATACTGATATATGTTTGTGATAAAAATGTCGTGGGAATTCTGCCTACAACGTGTGAAATAAGGAAAAAAGAAAAATCGTACCTTCGACATTCCAACATTTTGTTACAGAAACGAACCTTTTCGGTAACCAGCGTAATCTAGTGGATCACCAGTGATGCTGCCATCTTTGAAGATTTCTAACAGAAAGTTATGTTATGGAGAGTAGCAAAAGTTCAACTCTATAGAAACTATAGATCCTTTTTCCCATCCTGTTACATACAAATAATGATGGTGGCATCACTTCTTGTTAGGTATCTTAAAACACAGGCAGCCCAGTTGAAATGAACAATCAAATTGAAATGATCAAATCTCAACTCACCAAAAACGTTCATGTATATTTACACATGTATTGATAGTTTATCTATATTGTCATATCATCATAAGAAAACAGCAGGCTAGTAAGGAATGTCACTTTAAGTCACTACATGTATAAAGATATAAGATGAAAGTAATAAAGCTTGTTTATTTTTTATTTAGCAATGAAATCTAGCACCAGCCAGCATTAACTGCTATACTAATTCATGCTTTTGAATTGATCAAACTCTTATTTACTGTTCTTAACTATAAAAATATATATATACATACAATTAAATGCATAATGATTTTCAAACTATATATTTTATGAATAAAAATACCAATAACTTATACTTGATTGCAGAAATGTGAATTCCTTAATTAAAATATTAACGAATGGGTTAAAATATAATCAAGGATTACAACATAAAAATCATAGACAACAGTTGAGGGATGAATTTTATTTTAACAATTTATATTCTAAAACATGAACTGTCAATAATATGTTATAAAAGACAAACCTGCTGTCATACTCTCTAGGTTCTCCTCCAGACCAATCCACTCCATAAAAGGCTTAGTTTCTTCACCAGAGCCTGAGCGTAGATCACGGATGGCTTCATGCATGCTATGAGCAGCTTTTAGCCAGTGGTTGCCCTCAATGGTCCTATAAGACTGTTTAATGTCTTCTAGAAGTCGTATAGCTGAATTCTGGGCATATGTGTTGAACCTGTCCCTGTGAATGAGATGAGAGATATCTTGGGAAATGATATCTATTGTTCAAATATCTTATTATGAAACAAAATAGCAACTCTCCAATTTTGGAATTACCTTCTCTAAATATAATAAAGCTTTATATTTTATATTTTGAAACAATAATATTCATAGATCATGAAGTATCGACAACATAGCCATTTAATAATAATGTATATTTTTAGATATGGTTTGGTGTAAAGTATTCTGAACTCAAGATTTTTGTCTTTGGTCTATATTATTTGAGCCATTTCTTGATTGGTTTTATATTATACTTGAGCAATTCTGTGCAAGAGCATGGCTTAATTGAAAACATCATTTTAATAAAGAAACTTGTTAATACTATGTGAATACATTTAAACAACCATTTTCCTTATAAAACACTCTTTACGAGGGGTGATTCAAAAGTAATGGACAAAATTTTATAGGCATACTAAATTTCACCCAATCAGTCTAATGTTTTCACAGTGAATAGATCAATCAATTCTCTACTTTGTGTCGAATTCTCATTTAAATGCATTTGAAATTGTTTCAGCTATGCGTAACCATGGTAACAAGGGTAAGCATGGGTGGAATTGGTTTTTTAATGATAATTGAATGTTTTTGTCATTTTTGCTTGATTTCGTTTTAATGACTCAATTACCACACATGATATGTCTAACAAGCATGGTAATGCGATTGTCAAGCAAGACTCACATGCCCATGTGTTTGCTGTTGAGTTCTAAATTCAGCAACCAATTGTGCTATGACATCACAATGATATTTCTTAGAATGATGAGTCACAGTGAGTCAGAAAGTAGATCAGACTCTTAGACTCACACACATCCAATAAATGTCTACTTTACAACAAATCAAAGTTAAGCAAAGGATTGTTATTGAATATTTGGTAGCTACTGGAGAGACAAGGCAGGCAGTTGTCAAGAAAATGAAAGAGACACATGGAGACAAGGCCTTGTCAAGGCAAGCCATTGAGCGATGGTACAAACACTTTAGTGAAGGGGATACGAGAGTCTTAGATCTAAAGCGATCTGGAAGGCCCAAGAATGGCCGCACTGATAACACTATTCACCATGTAGAGTCCATCTTAAATGCAGACAGGAGATTGACACTGAGAGAAATAAGTTCCATTACAGATGTGTCCTACTCTACAGTACAAAGGATTGTAAAATGCGACCTAAAACTTACTGCAATATGCTTTTCGTATACATCTTGCATTGCAAAATATATTGCACCAGCAAACTTTTCATTGAAAATCCATTTGTTATTATGATGAAAATAGCCTAAAAATGGATTCCGGGTGTATGCACCATGATCCAAGAGAAGTGCTCTATCTCAAAATGTATTTGCATTTAGTTAATAAAATTTTAACATCTAATAGATAATTGATTAATCTTTATTTGTACAAAGTTTCATTCAAATCTGGTAAAGGTAAGCGTGCCTATAAAATTTTGTCCATTACTTTTGAATCACCCCTCGTATATAAGAAAATTCAAGAAGATTTCACTGATTTGTTCTGAAGCATGGCATTTTTGTGTCACTCTGTACAATGAATATATCCAAGCTATGTGAAACAACTCCCTACCTAAAATGTGTCATGTCTTTAGTTAGTTTCTCAACCATATGCTTTGTATATTGAGTGGCAGCCTCTGTTATCTTCTCTCCATCATCAATGTTGTCTTCTAGAGCCATCTCTTTCACTAACTACATTCAGGACAACAATGTTCATTTTATTACAATCATGAGCCAACTTTACAAAGAGTGCATCTATATGAATAACTCTGATGCCAGTATGTAGTTACCAGTTTCACCAAGTTTAATTTTCATATCACCCTTATGTTTCTAATATTTATGCAAATTAAAATATATCCAGTAAAAGAAAATATTATCTGTCCAATCACATGGTTGAAAGGCCGTGGTCAAATACAAGAAAAGATATTTCACTTTTTGTGATTTTTTTATAATTTGGGGTGTATATGATATGATATGATCCTTTATTTCCTCCAATTTGGAGAGCAAATTAATACAAATACAAGTTATTAAATTACAATATTATGTACATTAAATACAATATATGGTGAAATGAGGATATTTGCTTACGACGTGAATTCTTTAAGCATGGCGCTAATTTGGTTGGCACAAATGTTAATAAAAATATGACAAATATGACATCACTTTGGCTGAATTTTGAATATATAATGATGTCAATCAAGATTAATTCTACTCGCATCTAGTCTATTCATTTAGATGTGGAATCAGTTCATATATATTTGTTAAGGGCAAGTCATATAACTTCAAAGCAACCCCAAATTTACCTTTGTTAATCTGTCATCAAGTCTTTGCAGATGGAACTGGCACGCATATCTTGTCTGATTAGCTTCTAGGTTTTGACGATTAATTTCCTGGTCCAGATGATCTTGCAATTTTTCAATCTCAAGATCCTGAAGAGCTTTTACAGAGTCTGTGTAGCGATAGTATTGGCTAAGTTTGTAAACTTGATTTCTGAAGAGTTCAAAAATATGTGTCACAATAGTTAACTGAGAAAAGATAGAAAAATAAGACACAGAATTACCCAAATGCGAGTAGGTAGTTACCAGTTTCACCACCAGGTGGCTGATTCGGGTCAATTAACATGGCAGGTATATAAGAAAGTTCCCTTAAACTTGAATATTATCAATTTAAGTGGCTCAATTTCCATATAACCCTTATGTGTCTAATACTTATACTAATGAAAATATGTCCAGTAAAGCAAAATATTATCTGTCCACTAAAAGAAAAGATATTTCATTTTTTGTGATTTTATAGCATGGGGTCTATGGGGAATCTCCCCGAGCCAGAAGTCCCATTTTCAAAGAAAAGTAATTTTACAAAGTTGATAAACACTTTTTAAAACCACATTTCTAGATGTAATTTTACATGTAGATTTCAAATATGATATTACTTTGACTGAATTTTTAATTTTTAATGACCTAAATCAAGATTATTTCTACTCACATCTGGGTTATTCAAACCTAAACAAGACACAGAATTAATAAAAAAAGAAAAACAGAGACATGTATAATACAAAATAAACGAAGGCTTGGAAGGTGTTAATCTGCTATGTTACCTGTTGACTGCACATAGAATCAACAGCAAGACAGTCATTGTCATACAGAGACTGTAGAAAGCTCTGTAGGTCACATAGCCTGCAACAACTACAAGATGGCGTCTTTCAAAACGATGTTGACCTTCAACCTTGGGATTCTCTGAAAACCAGTAATCAATTCAAGTGAAATGCACATACTGACGAGAAATGAATAAAATGACATTATTTTTACACATGAGAAACAGTTATTTTACAATTTTCATGCACATTAATCAAATTAAATACTTAGCAGTTATGTCCCTATCATTGAATATATGCCTGAGGTCTGTCACCAATATAGCCCGAGCTTGCGAGGGTTATATTACGACAGACCGAAGGCATATATTCAATGATACGGACATAACTGTTGTATTACATACTTTTATATCATGGCTACGTTATATCAATGACGCCCAGTGTCTGTGTAAGAGTGAAATTAGGAAGAAATGAAACATGTCGTCCCGATGACGTCATAAGATTGTCATGGTAAAAGGTTTGGCGGCTATACAGGAATATATAGCCGACCTTCAGCTCCATTGACATCAATACAAATGCTTCGCTGGGTATGTAATACTTATAAATATGAATCACCATTAATATCTATATTTATACCTGCATGCTTAACATATCCAATCAGGAGAACACAAGAGAGACCAATAATAATAGCACCTATCACCAGAAGTACAGGGTGGGCCACATTTACAGACACATCTTGTCTCAGCACAGAGCTGCTAGATCTGCTAGATCTTATCCTCTCTGAAGCATCTGAATAAAAATGGGCAATTTTTGAAAAGGATTTAACCTTGTCTTTTGGTTGTATTCAAAGTCAAAGCATTCTTGAATTTTACTTGTTGCTCTACATATGTATGCTATTTCCTAACACCCTGTATATATGCTTTTTCCTGAAGACCCTGTATATATGCTATTTCCTGAACACCCTGTATATATGCTATTTCCTGAACACCCTACATATATGCAATTTCCTGAACACCCTGTATATATGCTTTTTCCTGAACACCCTGTATATATGTTATTTCCTGAACACCCTGTATATATGCTATTTCCTGAACACCCTGTATATATGCTATTTCATGAACACCCTGTATATATGCTATTTCCTGAACACCCTGTATATATGTTATTTCCTGAACACCCTGTATATATGTTATTTCATGAACACCCTGTATATATGCTATTTCCTGAACACCCTGTATATATGTTATTACCTGAACACCCTGTATATATGCTATTTCCTGAACACCCTACATATATGCTATTTCCTGAACACCCTGTATATATGCTATTTCCTGAACACCCTACATGTATGCTATTTCCTGAACACCCTGTATATATGCTATTTCCTGAACACCCTGCATATATGCTATTTCCTGAACACCCTGTATATATGCTTTTTCCTGGACACCTTGTATATATGCTATTTCGTGAACACCCTACATATATGCTATTTCCTGAACACCCTGTATATATGCTATTTCCTGAACACCCTACATATATGCTATTTCCTGAACACCCTGTATATATGCTATTTCCTGAACACCCTGTATATATGCTATTTCCTGAACACCCTGTATATATGCTATTTCCTGAACACCCTGTATATATGCTTTTTCCTGAACACCTTGTATATATGCTATTTCCTGAACACCCTACATATATGCTATTTCCTGAACACCCTGTATATATGCTATTTCCTGAACACCCTACATATATGCTATTTCCTGAACACCCTGTACATATGCTATTTCCTGAACACCCTGTATATATGCTTTTTCCTGAACACCCTGCATATATGTTATTTCCTGAACACCCTGTATATATGCTATTGATTGTAGTCTCACCTTTATTGTGTGCTTGTGGAGGAGCCTTCCTATAAATTGTCAGTTTAAGTTTACGGTGGGAGTCATTCAGTACAACCAAAAATCTTTTATCATATCCCATGGACTTCCCGAGGGGTACCCCAAATTTAATTGTAAATTTCTTTGGGCACATTACTCCAACATCATAGTTATACAAAGCAATGTCTGGGTAATTAGGGTCAAACAGTTTGACAGATATGTACCCAGGGCAGGTTTTCAGCTCCCCAGACACTTCAATTGACCAATGAGAATCATTTCTTGTCAATGAACCCAATAAAGTGCTATCATCTTTGATGGTTGATTTTTCGAAAAATGGCTCCAAAATTGATTCGTTCTTGTTAACATTGAAATATATAAATGGAGTGGCTGTTTTGTTAAGGACTCTATATTGATGGGTTGTGTGCCAAGACATGTCAAGCTCTGGAGATTGTTTCATGTAAGTGCCATCATCTGGTATAATCATTCTTTCAAGTACATTAGAGTTGCAGCCCTGTTGCTCTGAAATCAAAACAATTAAGTATTATTTGTTATTATTACCATATATTATAAGAAATAGGGATGTCATGTTTTCGGACTTTGGTCTCGGCACGCGACGGGATAACCCTTGTGTACCGAAGATTTCGGTCCATGTTCAGGATATAATATTCCTCCTGTATATGACCCTAAAGCTTCCCTAATTCACGATAAATATGATCTTAAGGTTCAGCTGGAAAGTAACATTTTGGTAAAAAATTGCTATACCTGCACATGTTATTTTCTGGTACAAAATTAAGTATGAAGGCATGTGTGTATTTCCTTGCTTTTTTCAGCAAAGTATCATTACACTGTCTACTTTTAGGAAACCTGGAAACAGGTCAATGGTAGCACCTGTGTTGTCTGGAAACTTTGAAAGAAAATTTGGAAAAATAGAAAGTGTGAAATATCAGAATTTCCTGGAGTTCCCATTGAACTCCTACTAGATATTCTTAAAGAAGACAATGTAATGATACTTTCCTGAAAAAAGCAAGGCAATTGACACATGTCTTCATACTTTATTTTGTACCAGAAAATAACATGTGCTGGTATAGCAATTTTATACCAAAATGTTACTTTCCAGCTGTACCTTAACTAGAATTTTCTTCCGTTTTTACAACTTATCTGCCGGATTACGTTCATGCGCAAATGCCATCTAGTGGCAATTACTATAAGTGATAATAATAAACAAAAATTCAGGACAGAACATGCAGTTTTATCAATAACAGTGTTTCCCTTTGAAATATGCTTTAATTTAAATAATAACAAAGAACTTCATCGGCAAGAAAGGTAACAACTTAAAATTAATCTCAGTTTTTGCGCAACTTACGCAGCCTGCGCTGCATAAGCATCACCGGAAGAAGACAGAAAATGTAAGTTGTTGAACTAGTGTTTTAAATTATTTTATTGGTTATGTCCCGTCCTGTCCTGAAATGGATAATTCACATCCTGCCCCGAAATATTTTGTCCGTGACATCCCTAATAAAAAACACCCATGGTCAAATCTTGGACTGTTAAAAATAACTTTTGTCATGCCATGTGATTTGATTCTTTGGTACTCCAGTTATAGATGGAATAAATGGATGGATGACTAACTGGCTTTTCAATATTGCAACAAGCTGCCAAACGCCAGACACCAACTGCTGAACACCATCAACAAAAAATTGGAGACAATACCAATATGTCCACACTATTGGTGGTGACATAAAACAAACATGGTATATTACTTACTCCATGTCCCAAGAGTCATAGCAAAGGGGGTAACAGGTCTAACATCTAGGGTTTTCCCACTCATACTAGAACTATTCAATTGCTTCCCTGTGACATCATAATGACCTGCTGACATCATCTGAGCTACAGTGTCCCCTCGTACTAAATCCACAGGAGCAAAGACATTAGATTCATAATAACCCTGCAGGAAGTTGTACCTGAAAAAAATGTGTTAATTTTGTGAAAAGCACATACATGATATGTGAGCCAAGAGGCTGCAATAATTGTAGAGAAAAATGTCCATGAAAACGATCCTTACAGAGAAATCAGATATTGTTTCTGTTGATAGATATATTATGCAAGATATGTCATACTTGAAGTGGCCCCTGTCCTCACGATGTTTCTTGATAACTTTTACTCTCTTGCCATTGATTGGTCGGCCATTGTAGAGTACAGAGTATACAATTTCAAACATCGTAGATTGTTGTTTCTCTATGTGGCATGTGAATTGGGTTCTCTGGTTGTTAAATATGGGTGACAGTATTATCTCAGTGACATTGGACTTGATACATCTGCAACATAATATATAAGTGGATCTCACATACATTTGCCTTAGGCACATCTATGACAGAATATATGTGACAGAAGGATCTCTGACAGATTTCTATCATAGAATATGCTGCATCAACTAGACAGGGTACCCCGAAAGTAACAGGATTGGTGCTGTTATTTATCATTAATTCATACCAATTATATAAAATTTTGCCAATAATACGCTTTCATGTAGCATATCATTGCAGTACCCATGGCAATTTATAATGTTGAAGGTAACTGATGTTAGAATGGTGCTTGCTCATATTTACTCAAGGCAGACTATAGACACTGATTACCACTTCCAGTTGAGTATTTTATTGGTAAACTGAACAATATTGAACAACATTTTAATACATATAGTTAAGGATTTAAGCCCTGGACTCAGTGCAATGTGAAATGACCATTCCTTGAAGGTGTTGCTTTCCAAAATTTGCATGAGATGCACAGCATCGAGTGTTAATTTTAGGAAACAATGCCTGAAAGGAAATGGTCATTCCACAATGCACGGAGTCTTGGGCTTAAATTCTTTTCACACATTGCAAAATATTTTCTGCAAAAACACCTAAAAGATACAAAATCACAAAAATAACATATTTTCAATGAGACCTTTTGCGAGGGTCAAGTTGGCAGAACTTATTTTCGATGAAACTTTTTGCAAGGGTCAAGTTGGCAGCATCGATTTCAATCTGTAGTCTAGTTGTCACCTTGACAACCACATAAGGAATAACCTTGGATGGATGAATGGTTATATAATGCACTGCAGTTGTTTGAAATACTGTATTCGAATTGGCTAGAATCAGACACACCTTGCCTAACTACTTCTAGTATGCGTGAAAGTATAAACATGGACTTAATAGTGTTCTCTCTTTTTTAGTTTCAGTACATGTCATTTGAGACTTGCAATCTCAAGAAAAAAGCTAAACTAAATATTTTTGGGGGTTATTTACTCTAGTTGCTCATGCTGGTTGAGTATGCACTTCTATGTCCAGAGATTGTCTCTTCAGAAATCATCTATGTGAAGGTCATTGATCAATTTTGGCTTAGGTGAATGGGTACCCTAAACCATGAGGTTGCGAGTTTGAGACACGTGTGCTCTGTATGTTCATTCTTTTATGAGTACCATATCTAGTATCTACAAGGAATGCTGATGTATTATGAGTATTGAATATCGATTGAGTTTAATTATAAACCACGAGGTTGTGAGTTTGAGACACATGTGCTCCTTGTGTTCATTCTTTAATGAGTACTAGTATCTACAACTAGTTATCACTCGTTTTCATGTTATGTGTGGCTATCAATTGAGTTTATTTATGCGGATTTCTACACTTTGTGCCTTTACTACATCCACAAAACACAACACATTTTATGTCCATTGCTCTGCAGGTGCATGTCTTGGAACTAATGCAGAATGTTGGGCATTTGCATGGAGGAGGTAGGTCATCAGCGTTATGGGGTATATGGCATACATTCATGGTTGCGCGGTATTTGTGATACGGGTGAATATGCCATACTCACCTGTGGTATATGCATACTTGCCAACCTAAGACCAAAATTTTGCGGTAGATTTTTTTAAAATTGCTGTATTTTTACGGTAGATTTTTTCAAAATGCGGTAGATTTTACGGTATTTTTCAACAAAAATGCGGTAGTTTTTGCGGTAGATTAAAAAAAACGGTAGTTTTTGCGGTAAATTTTTAAAAAACGGTAATTTTTGCGGTAGATTTTTAAAAAATACTGTAGTTTTAGAGGTTTGGGGTAGATTTTTGAAAAAAGTGAAATTTTGCGGTAGAAATTTTAAAAAAGCGGTAGTTTTACAGAAGATTTAGAAAAATGCGGTAGTTTTACGGTAGATTTTTAAAAATACGGTAATTTTTACGGTAGTTTTTTGAAAAATCGTTAGTTTTGTGGAAGATTCTGAAAAAATGCGGTAGTTTTACGGTAGATTTTGAAAAAATGCGGTAGTTTTTACGGTAGTTATTTGAAAAACCGGTAGTTTTGTGGAAGATTTTGAAAAAATGCTGTAGTTTTACGGTAGATTTCGAAAAATGCGGTAGTTTTTACGGTAATTTTTTGAAAAACCGGTACTTTTGCGGAAGATTTGCAAAAGATGCGTTACTTTTACGGTAGATTTTGAAAAAATGCGGTAGTTTTTGCGGTAGATTTTTAAAAAACTAGTTTTGCGGAAAAATTTGAAAAAATGCAATAGTTTTGCGGTAGATTTTGAAAAAATGCGGTAGTTTTTGCTGTAGATTTCTAAAAAACTAATGAATAAAACAGTATGGTAACCCTGTTATCACACCGAACTAGTTCTCACTACGTTCTTGAAAACGGGCTCAACTGTGCACGAACGGATTTGACGTACCATGAACCCACTAAGAACCGTTTGGGATCTGTTACAAACTTCATGAAACTACTCGAACGAGTAGGTCCTCAAGAACTTAGAGCATGCTCAAAATTTTCTGGTGATCGTCATGTTCTGCAATCAGCATGAGTGATAACGTACTTAAGACGACCTGGACGCACTGGGGACACACTACGAACGGAAGTGTCGTACTTCAATCCTACTAGGGACGTATTACGACATTGTGTAGTCAGGCGTAAATTGCAGCCGTGAGTACCCCAATCTAGTCCGTTTGTAGCTCGTTCATTCTGTTCGTAGACAGACCCAACTCGACCGAATAAAAATAAATGCGTTCTGCACGGATTAGGGACACGATGTTTACTATTTTAGAACGAGTTCAACCGTATGGAAATTTGGTGGATAATTCAGTAACATATTAGGACGTATTGAGAACGAGGTACAACTAATTGTCAACTGGTTTAAACTGATTAAGGACGTAATTGAACTGCTTGGTTACGTTGTGTAGACCAGACGAACGCACAATTCAACCCCATCTAAACTTGATACCAACGTACTGCAAACGGAATAAAGACGAGATGAACGTATTAAAAACTGCTTATGAACGAATTAACAAAAATAGCGATCACACCAGAACCAGTTGTCTCTGCGTTCTGCAAAACGTTGCCGAATCGGTTTTAAACTGTGTGCGAACTGAATGAACGTAGCTACAACGTTCTACGGTCTGTTTACGAACTTTATGGACTTTCCCGGACGGGAAATGTGATTTAGAATTTTGAATCGATTCAATATCCTGCCGATACCTTATATTCGGTTTGGTAAATGAATATTACAGGGACAGTACAGAAAGACTTCAATTTTAAGCATTTCCAAACAAAAACGGGAGATTTTACGGTAGTTTGAACAAAAATACTGTTGATTTTAGCAGAAATACGGTACATTTTACGGCTCTTCTCATGGAAAAAAACGAGTTTTTAAAAAAAATTTACGGTAGATTTCGGAAAAAATACGGTAGATATTTTTACGGGCGTTTTTACGGGAAAAAAATGGCATTTTCTTACGGTAATTTGTCATTTTTTTACGGAAAAACGAAAAATTTACGGTAGATTCCCGTAAAAATACGGTAGGTTGGCAGGTATGTATATGGCATATTCCGCAGTTGAGTATGCGATATTCTGCAGTGAATATGCGATACATTGATGTCAGTGAATACCCGATACTCACCTGCGGAATATGTCATACTGACTTGCGGAATATGCCATATACCGCAGGTGAATATGACATATACCGCAAGTGAAAACGTGATACAGAAAGCCTTGATTTGATTGGTTGCGAGAATCGACTCTAAATGTAAAACTACGCTGTATTACCATTATAGTTAGTGCGTCGAGTACTAATATATGAATCCTGGATTGATTAAGTTTATTACGCGAGATTGGTGACTGATACTACATCTTCCACATCAAAAAGACCTGGCAACTACAAACGCTGTTTGAAAAGCTTGGTAACTGTAAAAACAAGAAAACTGTTCCAGTCCACCTGTTAGTTGATCAACTGGACAACAATTTGGTATCGTGTCTCCCAGCCATTCATGCACTTGACAGTACCAGCAAAGTTGGTCCAAAACTATCTGGTATGAAATCAGCCATGGATCTCTCGCTTTTGGAAGGGTTTGGTGTCGAGGAACTTACACCAGAAATGATTAAGAATGCAGAGAAGTTCCTTGTATCCGGTTTGAAGAAGACAGACTGTTCCACATTTGATGAATATCGGTGGGAACAGTACCACAACTCAAAGAAAGACATTGATTTTAACCAACTTGTGTGCTGCTCATCAACTCTACAGGAGAAGAATGAACATATGGAGCACACGTGTCTCAAACTCGCAACCTCGTGGTTCAGGGTACCCATTCACCTAAGACCTCTTGGCCAACTCAACAACCAAAAAAGTTTGTTTCCTTCGCTGATCTGACTAGATAGAGGCTGCGGATTCAGTCTTAAATGATGCAGGATATATGAAAACTGTTGTGCGTAACATGCTAAAATCAGTTTTTGGCAAATATCTTGAGAACCATTGACTTTTTTAAATACATATGTATTATTGACCCCCTATAATGTGGCCATTCCGGACATTTTGAGTGGTCACACAACCTTCTATGTCCAACGGTTCTGGAGATGCAAAAATGGGGGGAGTATTCGCGTAAAAAAGGGCGTGGCCATTTGACCTATTTCGCCTTCAGTGGCAAATATGTTACCAAGCCAAAATTGATCAATGACCTTCACATATATGATTTCTGAAGAGAAAATCTCTGGACATAGAAGTGCATACTCAACCAGCATGAGCTACTAGAGTAATTTGTCTACTCAAAAGCCAGTTATACTGGCATCGCTGGAAATCTCAAAAAATGATAGAAGAGTTGGCTGTTTTTTATGGAATTTATTTTGTATCAAAATTGGACATTACATGATGTGTGGGAAAAATCGAACTATATGATGCGATACTCGAACTATTTGATTCGGAACTTGCATCAAACTATGCGAAATACGCATCATTATATGCGAAACTCGCATCATCGTATGACATTTTCAATCCATGTTATACCAACAGTTAATTTTCTTACATAACTTATTTTCATTCACACACGCATTGGTTGCATCAAGTGTCACACAAAGAGTTAGCACTAACTCCAATCACTTTCCAAAAATCCAAAAGCAATGTTGAAATGTCACATGGATTGTGTTATAAGTTACATAGAATACTGAAAGAATTACACATGGATCAAAGTAAATTTCGAACGAACGTGTCAATTTTACACACGCATTGAGTTCAAACTCGCATAGGATGGTTCCCGCTCGCATAGGCTGTCACAAACAAGTTGCACTTCACATAGGGTGCGAGATTTGAAGTCACGTGATATTTTCATCCTGGTTTCTACAATATGGCGCCCTCCGTTGAAATGTTATAAAATTTAAATTTTAAATTAAAAATATGTAATAGGATACCCTAGGCCCTAGGCTAGGGAGACGTACAGTGGCCATTTTTTGAGAAACTACAAACTAGATCTTTTGATCTTTTTGGCGCGCTAATGTGTTATTTCGTTCAGTGCAAAAGTAACGCGAGATTTAGAACAAAATCTCGAACATCTCTAGAAAGTAATTTATGTTACATCAAGGTGTGTGATCGGTACATCAAGGTGTGTGATTCGGCAGATCATGGTTTGGGAAGGGAAAAACGTTTGTGCGAGCCGCATAAACATTTGTTCGACTTGTGTACCCTGTTCGATGTCATTTTTAAACAATGCATACACAAATACACATGTACAAGTGTGATTTTACAAACATAAAGTGTGCAAACTCGAACAAACCGTGTATGAAATCACACGGATTGAGTATGTATTCTGCTAAACGCTATTCTATGAGTTAGAGATATCACATAAATATAAGATGTCCAATTTTGATACAGTTTTAACACCATAGTTTTTAGTTTCCTGATCAAATGTGGTTTTTAAATGTGTTATGCTTTTATGGACATGTTTTCTTACCTCATTGGCTGGCAGCTGGCCACAGTAAATATGTTACACTTTGCAGTACAGTTTTGTTTAATGCAACAGTTGTGGCAATATTGTAGACGTGGGGAATATCCATTGTCAATCATCTCTGTTGTCACTTCACATGGAGGACTCTCTCTATTGTTGGATAGCACTCTACCACAGTCTTGTATACACTTGTCACAATTCTCTTTACTCCTTGTGCATCTACATAGAGAACATCACATACAGTTATTGATTGTGCTCTATAATGATAGTGCTATGATGGATTCTCTTGAGAATTGCACAAATGAAGGGACAACTGTAAAAGGTAAACATTTGATGGCATGAAGAATACAGTTGTTTCAGAAGTTTGAGACTGTCAAGCAATACAAATTAGGAAAGTCATGACAACATAAGGAAAATATTTTGAAATTGAGAGGAACTAACAGAATAACTAATGAATGTGACAAGAACCTTTTAACTGGAATGGAATTGGAATAAAGATACATATTCCATGATCTACTCATTATTTTTATCTACTCATGGCTATATTGATAACTGCAATCTCTCTCAATTTTCACCCATATATATCAAATCCACTCATGGATAAAAATCATATATAAAATCATAGAATATCCTCTCAATATATATTGTTCAAATTTGTATATATTCATAAATAAGCACTGACTATAGGAAATAACCTAATGTTTAACCCACCCCTCAGATTTTTCTGCAAAGACCGTCTTCTTGTGGACCATGTGGTCACTCACACCAAACACATCTGTAAGTTGACTTGGTTCAGTGCACACAACACTTAATTTCTGACTGTTGAATTGTGGGTAATTGCCAAATAATTTATGTGTCATGCATGGCTCAGATGGGTTTGCAAACCAGCCACAACGTTCATTCTTATTCAGTCCATTTTGGCAATCATAGTAATCCGCCTTCATCAAAACATCCTATCAGAAAGAAAAAAAATTATATTAGAGAAGAGAAAAAATGAGGGCCATTAGTCTCATGCCAGTCAACAGGAGAGAGTCTTACATAATATTCATCAGGAGCTATTTGAAACTTGCCTTAAAGCTAGACCAGTCTGATACAAGACCAACATGCATTTTTTGTGCCAGCGGTCATATTAATGAATTTACAAATTTTGTCAGAACCAATAAAAAGTATATGCTACATTTACCTTAAACAATATCCTAGATAACTGGTACTTAAATGGCACTGGATAAGGACAATACTGCTGAGTGATTAGCACGTCTCCCTGAAACACCTCATTGTCATTGCCTGCAGAGTGATTGGCTGCTTGGAAGATGGGTGCAAGGTTGGCCTGCTTTATCTTTATCTCAATTGTCAGTTTGGAACCCTCTGAAAAATAATATTATACTATGGTAAGAGCAATATATGGTATATAATAGCAAGACACAGTGATAAATCATGCATATGGGATCAGGACATGGGATTATACTAGGATAAGCAGGATGATATTTGAATGATATACATAAGACTAATGTGCATGGTATAAAGTTGTTATTCACCTGCTAGGAAGATAGGGGGAATATCATATCTCCCTGATAACTGCTTCATATCAAATGTGCATGGTCAGACATATGGACTTCCTGGGTAATATGTGATATAAGGTTTAAAGGTTGTAACAGTATCATCATTAGACAATCTATTAGATGGCTGAATTATTGGCTTCAAGATAGTTGAATTTTAGTCTACTATGATGCAAAATAAAGGTTATTGTAAACACAACTGGACAAAAGGTGGTGTTTATAGTCTTACACTGTCTACACATGCCTATCTCTATTCATATATGGATATTACTGTTATTTGGGTGTTGTTAATTATTATTGGTATTTGGGTGTAACATTTCATCAAAATGGCAATTTTAAATCTGCATATAATGTTTTGTACTCAAAAGCATTAAAGGCCCAATATGCAGTTAAAAAATGTATTTCATAATAGTAACGTGAAATCACAGATAAAGTTATTTGACACTTCAGTCAAACCAATTGCACTCTATGCTTCTGATGATTTGGCTACAGATATTATAATCAAAAGTTAAAAGACAAATTCTTAAAGTATACTTTTAGATAATTCATTTCCATTTGAGAAGTTACACAACAGATATTGCAAACAGGTATTATTATGTCAATAATAACTGCAGTAACGTGTCAGCCAAGGCTGAATTGGGCAGACACCCGCTGCTCATTAATATATTAGTTAGAACTTTAAAATTTTGGTTTAAAGTCACCAATTGATTCATTTTTGGTAAACATGAGGAAGACTCCCATGAATCAGGGCATTGGAGCTTCTTTTCATTTATCAATCGGATTTGCTCAATATCAAATAAAAATATTGATATCCAAAAAATCGATACATGTGATAAAGTCAAAATTGATAATGTAGTTAAATCTACAATGACAAATTCAGAAAAAGAATACAAAGCACATTTATGCAAGACATCAAATAGACCAAATGATGCTCCAGGCAAATTCACAAGTTATAAATAAAATATGCACATAAAGAGAAAGTTATCTAAATTAACAGAACTCCATCTATAGACAATCTATTGCTAAGGTACGGTTATCGATGCACAATTGAACGGGGTCGATACTTTAAAGTAGAAAAATCGAAACGATTTTGTTACTTCTGTTATTCGAAAATTACAATAGGTGATGAAGAACACATTCTTTTTTGTTGTTCTCAATCTGAACTAAAACTAGCTCGATCCCTATATCTCAGTAAAATAAAAAGTATAAACAATAGTTTTTCTCATCTCAATACAAGAAGTCTATTTTTATACCCCTTGTTAGCGCACGATGATACAATTAATGAAACAATTGGTGAATATTTTACAAGGGTTCATAATATTACAAAAGAGTTGAAATCATTTTATGCTACTTTAGTACTTAGTGATTGTTAAAATTAGATTGTAAATAGACTGACTGTACAAAACAGATGTATTCCATACCTAAGGACCAGGATGAATAAAGCCTGTATCCATCCCAGTCACAGACCTCGGCGATTGCTCCCTAGATACACTATAAATTTCCACTCTCTATGTACCTAGAACCTCTGTAGGTGTGAAATACATGTATGCAGTATATTTACCTCTTGCCAAACTTAATGTTTGACCATGCAGTTTCCCATCCTCAGATGCATATTTCAGACCAGTGTGAACATCTATAACTTTTGTCCTATCTTCAACAATGGCATTGGAAGAAAACTCAGCTCCTCCAAGTGTCTTTAAGTCTGAAAGGAAGTAGTACATGAACAATTATTGTTCTCTGATCAAATCAGAATGAAGATACAATATAATACCAATGAACAGCTGAAAGTTTAGGGGTATAGTTTGTTGTTAGGCCCTCAATATTTTATTCCGCATTAACACTTTCAATCAAATTCAGAAAATAAACCTCCCAGAATATTTACCTATTCTACAATACTAAAAAAGCTTTTAGGTAGACTGCTTTCACATACAAAACAGCTCCTATGTCTCTAAGTCTCAAGCCTATTAAAATTTAGGTAACCATTATTTGAGTTATCAAGAATTATATACATGTATTTACATAACTGAGAGACATTTTGAATTTCAAATGGCAATATTGGCAATATATCTTTTCTTAGATATCAGTATATTTAAAAATTTAGACAAAATCTGATATCCAGTACTTGCATTATGAAACTTTACATTCTTTCTAATGACATTTTGAATTCAGCAACCATCTTGGAAATTTCTTCTTGAGCAGGGGTTTTCATGCCATAAGCAATCAGCATATAAAATTTGAACCAAATCTCCGATAACCTGTATTTGTATTTGATAATTCAGCCATTTTGAATTAGCACAACCACATTGGATATTTTTTTGTTCCAGTAGAGGTCTTTCCCAGAGAGCTTACCTTTACATGCTCTATCTCCTTGCTCCCAACATGGTGAAAGTTCAAACTGTGATTCTTGACACTTTGGCTGGCACACTGGAAGTAAAACATTACTATGAGAGTTTATACTTCAGCACATAGCTCCTGAAAAATAGACATGATTGATTTAATAAGGAAAGTCCAAAGAATGACAAATCAAATAATTGCTGTAAGACCATAATAACATATGATAATGAGCTACCCTTTAAAGCAAGTCAAGTTCTTACAGTAATATATAGTTTAAGATAAAATACACAGCAAATATAACTTCTTGATTATTTCTCTATTATACATATAGTAAAAACATTATAATTATTTGTTGAAAAACACTTATCTTTCTAAAACTGTCCCAGTTTTACAACTTTACCCAACAAAATTCTCAACAATTTTCTCATCCTAATTTTGAATATTTTCTGATATATACAATTTGAGTATTCCAAATCTTTCATGCAAATTATTGATGCATCATAATCGCTCATTTTTCACCAATGTATGCGTAATGCATACAATACTTTAGTAGAAATCCACTACATCACGCGGTAGTATCTCTTCGGGACGTATCGAAACCACTCCGTCCCGAAAAAACCGTTAATTTGAATTTAAAACCTACCCCAGTGTTTGAAAATCAAGGATTGTGAGTCTCACACTTCACCGTTTTTCTTCAAACTTGTTCCGTACAAAGCTTCACAGAAATACCTTTCAGTCCATACATTGTTTTCGTGTACAAAGTACCTCGTTTTAGCGGCGTTTTGGTCCCCAGCTGTGAGATAAAGCAAATTTTCATAACTTTCAACTGTAAGTTAAGTTATATCGCCAGTCTTTTACCCATTCTCGCCCATAATTTCAGAATGGACTCCCATTACAACCTTCCATCGCTACGTCTTGATTTTTGGGCATCAAACGCAGCAGTTTCTAAATCATCCACACATCTCTTCAAATTTGACCAATACGTCCCGTCATCTTCCACTACGCCCCGCCGAGTCTATCACTATACACGTAGAGTTGCATTCTAACGGGACGTATTAGTCAAATTTTAAGAGATGTGTGGATGATTTAGAAACTGCTGCGTTTGATGCCCAAAAATCAAAATGTAGCGATGGAAGGTTGTAATGGGAGTCCATTCTGAAATTATGAGCGAGAATGGGTAAAAGACTGGCGAGATAACTTGACTTACAGTTGAAAGTTATGAAAATTTGCTTTATCTCGCAGCTGGGGACCAAAACGCCGCTAAAACGAGGTACTTTGTACAGGAAAACAATGTATCGACTGAAAGGTATTTCTGTGAAGCTTTGTACGGAACAAGTTTGAAGAAAAACGGTGAAGTGTGAGGCTCACAATCCTTGATTTTCAAACACTGGGGTAGGTTTTAAATTCAAATTAACGGTTTTTCGGGACGGAGTGGTTTCGATACGTCCCGAAGAGATACTACCGCGTGTACATGTGGTAAATACAATACATGTACACATTTAGAATTCGAATGCAATGTGTGTACACTATTAGTAAAAAACTATACACACACCGGAATAGCCTGACAACGGTAAAGTCAGATACCGTTGTCACAAATGGCGGACATAACCGTCGCTTCAACTGTTTAATCACTTGGTCCTCATTTCATGGGATTTTATCTTTGCTAATTCTGTGCATGTATTAAGCTCTTATTAGATGTTTCATATGAAATCTTCGATATCATCAATGACAACGAAATCTGCATTTGAGTAATTTAGAAAGACAAGAAAGAAAGACAGCATATGGTAATAATTACAGTGTCCGTTGTCCCGTATCTCATTTTGATCGGTTAAATTAAAGACTTTATTTCGATTGTAGAACATTATTTACTGTACAATGAGTATTAAGACACTTTGATTGATTGTTGTTCCAAAGGAATTTAATCTAGGTGCTCTATTAAACATACAGTTCATGAAAATCTAATTGAAGTGACGGTTATGTCCGCCATTTGTGACAACGGTATCTGACTTAATCGTTGTCAGGCAATTCCGGTGTAAGACAATAATAATTACAATAAAATCCCTTTCCTTTGATGTTTTGTACAACTCATTTCAAAAGTACATCTCATAGATGGGAGTAATTCTATTATTCCAATATACCTTTACAAGGTTTTCCCATTCTGCGAACACATGATTTTGGAGCAAAGGTTCCATTCCTACATGGGATGTCACATCTCACTGCAAACATATTATATGCACAGTATTTATTATCTATGAAATGAGACAAATAAGAGTTCCTATAAGAGTTCAATAAAGAAAAAGAAAAACTAGAAAATAGCTACTACAGGAATCGCAAATTCACCAAACAAAACATGTCTTATTGAATAACCAGGATTTGTTCTCATGATGTGCTATAATGAGGGCCACCTAATAAATCGTATTGGCTATTATACTCACATTCACATTTACCATCAGTAAGAAATACAGAAGTAAGTAAATGTAAATATTGGAGTAGATTGTTTGTATGGTTTGCTATAATAAAGCTTGTACTTACATTCACATTTGCCATCAGTAAGAAATACAGAAGTAAGTAAATGTAAATATTGGAGTACATTATTTGTATGGCTGCTGTAATAAAGCTTGTACTTACATTCACATTTGCCATCAGTAAGAAATACAGAAGTAAGTAAATGTAAATATTGGAGTACATTATTTGTATGGCTGCTGTAATAAAGCTTGTACTTACATTCACATTTGCCATCAGTTAGAAATACAGAAGTAAGTAAATGTAAGTATTACATACCTAGCGAAGCATTTGTATGGAAGTCAATGGGAAAGTTAGCGAGCTATATCCACCGATATTGCCCGATTACCCCGATATAGCCCGCTTACCTCGTTTTGATATTAGATTTCTTTAATAACCATGATAATATCATGACGTCACGTCATTGATACAAAGTAACCATGGGAACAAAGGCATGTAATACATCAGTTATGTCACTATGACGTGAAATATGCCTTCGTTCTTGCCCAAATATAAAGCCTCCCAAGGTCGGCCTATATTGGGAGAACTCAGGCATATTTCACGTCATAGTGACATAACCTCTAAATATTGGAGTACATTATTTGTATGGCTGCTATAATAAAGCTTGTACTTACATTCACATTTGCCATCAATTAGAAATACAGAAGTAAGTAAATGTAAATATTGGAGTACATTGTTTCTATGGTTTGCTATAATAAAGTTTGTACTTACATTCACATTTGCCATCCATTAGAAATACAGAAGTAAGTAAATGTAAATATTGGAGTACATTGTTTGTATGGCTGCTGTAATAAAGCTTGTACTGTACTTACATTCACATTTGCCATCAATTAGAAATACAGAAGTAAGTAAATGTAAATATTGGAGTACATTGTTTGTATGGCTGCTGTAATAAAGCTTGTACTTACATTCACATTTGCCATCAATTAGAAATACAGAAGTAAGAAAATGTAAATATTGGAGTACATTGTTTGTATGGCTGCTGTAATAAAGCTTGTACTTACATTCACATTTGCCATCAATTAGAAATACAGAAGTAAGTAAATGTAAATATTGGAGTACATTGTTCGTATGGCTGCTGTAATAAAGCTTGTACTTACATTTACATTTGCCATCAGTAAGAAATACAGAAGTAAGTAAATGTAAATATTGGAGTAGATTGTTTGTATGGTTTGCTGTAATAAAGCTTGTACTAACATTCACATTTGCCATCAATTAGAAATACAGAAGTAAGTAAATGTAAATATTGGAGTACATTGTTTGTATGGCTGCTGTAATAAAGCTTGTACTTACATTCACATTTGCCATCAATTAGAAATACAGAAGTAAGTAAATGTAAATATTGGAGTACATTGTTTGTATGGCTGCTGTAATAAAGCTTGTACTTACATTCACATTTGCCATCAATTAGAAATACAGAAGTAAGTAAATGTAAATATTGGAGTAGATTGTTTGTATGGTTTGCTGTAATAAAGCTTGTACTTACATTCACATTTGCCATCAATTAGAAATACAGAAGTAAGAAAATGTAAATATTGGAGTACATTGTTTGTATGGCTGCTGTAATAAAGCTTGTACTTACATTCACATTTGCCATCAATTAGAAATACAGAAGTAAGTAAATGTAAATATTGGAGTAGATTGTTTGTATGGTTTGCTGTAATAAAGCTTGTACTTACATTCACATTTGCCATCAATTAGAAATACAGAAGTAAGAAAATGTAAATATTGGAGTACATTGTTTGTATGGCTGCTGTAATAAAGCTTGTACTTACATTCACATTTGCCATCAATTAGAAATACAGAAGTAAGTAAATGTAAATATTGGAGTACATTGTTTGTATGGCTGCTGTAATAAAGCTTGTACTTACATTTACATTTGCCATCAGTAAGAAATACAGAAGTAAGTAAATGTAAATATTGGAGTACATTGTTTGTATGGTTTGTTATAATAAAGCTTGTACTCACATTCACATTTGCCATCAATTAGAAATACAGAAGTAAGTAAATGTAAATATTGGAGTACATTATTTGTATGGCTGCTGTAATAAAGCTTGTACTTACATTCACATTTGCCATCAGTAAGAAATACAGAAGTAAGTAAATATTGGAGTACATTATTTGTATGGCTGCTGTAATAAAGCTTGTACTTACATTCACATTTGCCATCAGTAAGAAATACAGAAGTAAGTAAATGTAAATATTGGAGTACATTATTTGTATGGCTGCTATAATAAAGCTTGTACTTACATTCACATTTGCCATCAATTAGAAATACAGAAGTAAGTAAATGTAAATATTGGAGTACATTGTTTGTTTGGTTTGCTATAATAAAGTTTGTACTTACATTCACATTTGCCATCCATTAGAAATACAGAAGTAAGTAAATGTAAATATTGGAGTACATTGTTTCTATGGTTTGCTATAATAAAGCTTGTACTTACATTCACATTTGCCATCAGTAAGAAATACAGAAGTAAGTAAATGTAAATATTGGAGTACATTGTTTCTATGGTTTGCTATAATAAAGCTTGTACTTACATTTACATTTGCCATCAGTAAGATATACAGAAGTAAGTAAATGTAAATATTGGAGTACATTGTTTCTATGGTTTGCTATAATAAAGCTTGTACTTACATTCACATTTGCCATCAGTAAGAAATACAGAAGTAAGTAAATGTAAATATTGGAGTACATTATTTGTATGGCTGCTGTAATAAAGCTTGTACTTACATTCACATTTGCCATCAGTAAGAAATACAGAAGTAAGTAAATGTAAATATTGGAGTACATTATTTGTATGGCTGCTATAATAAAGCTTGTACTTACATTCACATTTGCCATCAATTAGAAATACAGAAGTAAGTAAATGTAAATATTGGAGTACATTGTTTGTTTGGTTTGCTATAATAAAGTTTGTACTTACATTCACATTTGCCATCAATTAGAAATACAGAAGTAAGTAAATGTAAATATTGGAGTACATTGTTTGTATGGCTGCTGTAATAAAGCTTGTACTTACATTCACATTTGCCATCAATTAGAAATACAGAAGTAAGTAGATGTAAATATTGGAGTACATTGTTTGTATGGCTGCTGTAATAAAGCTTGTACTTACATTCACATTTGCCATCCATTAGAAATACAGAAGTAAGTAAATGTAAATATTGGAGTACATTGTTTCTATGGTTTGCTATAATAAAGCTTGTACTCACATTCACATTTGCCATCAATTAGAAATACAGAAGTAAGTAAATGTAAATATTGGAGTACATTATTTGTTTGGTTTGCTATAATAAAGCTTGTACTTACATTCACATTTGCCATCCATTAGAAATACAGAAGTAAGTAAATGTAAATATTGGAGTACATTGTTTCTATGGCTGCTATAATAAAGCTTGTACTTACATTCACATTTGCCATCAGTAAGAAATACAGAAGTAAGTAGATGTAAATATTGGAGTACATTGTTTGTATGGCTGCTGTAATAAAGCTTGTACTTACATTCACATTTGCCATCAGTAAGAAATACAGAAGTAAGTAAATGTAAATATTGGAGTAGATTGTTTGTATGGTTTGCTATAATAAAGCTTGTACTTACATTCACATTTGCCATCAGTAAGAAATACAGAAGTAAGTAGATGTAAATATTGGAGTAGATTGTTTGTTTGGTTTGCTGTAATAAAGCTTGTACTTACATTCACATTTGCCATCAGTAAGAAATACAGAAGTAAGTAGATGTAAATATTGGAGTAGATTGTTTGTATGGTTTGCTGTAATAAAGCTTGTACTTACATTCACATTTGCCATCAATTAGAAATACAGAAGTAAGTAGATGTAAATATTGGAGTAGATTGTTTGTTTGGTTTGCTGTAATAAAGCTTGTACTTACATTCACATTTGCCATCAGTAAGAAATACAGAAGTAAGTAGATGTAAATATTGGAGTACATTGTTTGTTTGGTTTGCTGTAATAAAGCTTGTACTTACATTCACATTTGCCATCAGTAAGAAATACAGAAGTAAGTAGATGTAAATATTGGAGTAGATTGTTTGTATGGCTGCTGTAATAAAGCTTGTACTCACATTCACATTTGCCATCAGTAAGAAATACAGAAGTAAGTAAATGTAAATATTGGAGTACATTGTTTGTATGGCTGCTGTAATAAAGCTTGTACTTACATTTACATTTGCCATCAGTAAGAAATACAGAAGTAAGTAAATGTAAATATTGGAGTACATTGTTTGTATGGTTTGCTATAATAAAGCTTGTACTTACATTCACATTTGCCATCAGTAAGAAATACAGAAGTAAGTAGATGTAAATATTGGAGTAGATTGTTTGTTTGGTTTGCTGTAATAAAGCTTGTACTTACATTCACATTTGCCATCAGTAAGAAATACAGAAGTAAGTAGATGTAAATATTGGAGTACATTGTTTGTATGGCTGCTGTAATAAAGCTTGTACTTACATTTACATTTGCCATCAGTAAGAAATACAGAAGTAAGTAAATGTAAATATTGGAGTACATTGTTTGTATGGTTTGCTATAATAAAGCTTGTACTTACATTCACATTTGCCATCTACCTCCACATATCCATCTTTACATTTACAGATATATGAGCCTGGTGTATTAATACATGTTGATTCCAAATCACATACATATTGTTCAGTATCCTCACACTCATTGATCTCTGAAAGAAAATATATCATGATTTAAAGTATACTTGCTAAGATTATTCATTCATAGCAAGATATTTAAAAGATATCTATAAGAATGTTGGAAGAAGTGGTAGGAAAATTTTACTAGCACACTTCTATATTGTTTTGTTTTGTATCATATTGTATTGGATTGTACCGTACTGTACTGAACTGTACTGTACTGTACTGTACTGTACTGTACTGTACTGTACTATACTGTACTGTATTGTATTGTATTGTATTGTATTGTATTGCATTGCATTGCATTTTATCGTATCAAATTGTACTGTATTATACTGTATTGCATTGTATTGTATTATTCTATTGTATTGTGCTGTACTGTACTGTAATGCATTGTATTGTACCCTTAATTACAAATTTGTAAGACATGCCATATCACTGGTGCACAGCAGGACAAAACTATTATTGGTGTTAGTCTCATATTCAAAGCAGTAAACCTTCAATTTCTGCTAAGGCAAGTAAAACCTGGACATTATTCAATTATCAACACATCTCCATGAAATTTTATCACCATCCTAAATGAGATTCTACCATTCTGTATACTACTACTACATATTACTCTTGATAACCTCACACCCAATGTACCATGCAGGAATAGACAGTACAGCAACATACAGAGCAGGAATAAACAGTCCAGTAATGTACAGTATAGTAAGGTACAGTACAGTAATATACAGTATAGTAAGATACAGTACAGTAATATACAGTAGAGGAATATACAGTACAGTAACATACAATAAAGTAGTATACAGTAATATACAGTACAGTAATATACAGTACAGTAATATACAGTATAGTAAGGTACAGTACAGTAATATACAGTATAGTAAGGTACAGTACAGTAATATACAGTAGAGGAATATACAGTACAGTAACATACAATAAAGTAGTATACAGTAATATACAGTACAGTAATATACAGTACAGTAATATACAGTATAGTAAGGTACAGTACAGTAATATACAGTATAGTAAGGTACAGTACAGTAATATACAGTAGAGGAATATACAGTACAGTAATATTTAGTACAGGAATATACAGTACAGTAACATACAATAAAGAAGTATACAGTACAGTAATATACAGTGCACCCTCTCATGTTTTGGTTACCTTGACACTGTTTTCCACTGATGAGGATGTTGCCCTGGGGACATATGCACTCATTGGAGATAACGTCACATGTATGAGAGCATCCTGACAGTTGACATAAAGAGTACTGCTCACTCTGCGCCTTGGGCTGGTGCACCTCTACAAAGTAAGAGAGATTCCATTTGAAATACCAGCAAAATCACTAAAATTACACATATTAAATGGTCAACAATTCTAAAATTGGTCACCATATTTGCCAAAGACCAATGGCAAGGCATCAAACTTTTCAAAACATTTTCATGCAAACTACAATGTGAAAATACACACTGATTACTTTCCTTATAATAATAAAAGCATACTACACAATCATCACAATATTGGCTTGCTTTGGTATATTAGACCTTCTTGATAGAGTTTGATAATAGAGTTCACTCAATGTCTTCTTACCATAAAGCCAAATCTCACTTTGAGGATCCACCCCTTTTTTGTTCAAACTTCCAGCCTCCTTTTTGAAGAAAACTGACGAACCTTTGAGTATGATACCAGGTGGCGCTCTAATGATGATATTAATCGTTGTGTTGTCGGCATCTTGATTGGTCAGTTGTGTGTAGACTCCAGTAATAAGTGCAACACATGTCACTAGTGCTAGTGTTGTCATGTGGAGTCTGAAATAGAAGTAATGATTTCATAATATTAGGTTCAAAACTAATTTATAGAACTTTGTCATCACTGGTACTGCTCCATGTTTCCTTGAAAATATAGGATCAAATCCTACGCTAAAGGCTGATGTGAATGTCACTCCACCTCAGTGGGAAGCGAACCCATGGCCTTCCAATCTTGCTCAACCCACTTGTCACCAACAGTTAAACTAAGAAAATAACCTTTTTGGATCCCCTGGGGAATTGCACACCAAAAAAAATTGAATAATGGTATCATTTTCAAAATATTTCCAAAATGTGGCAATAGTAAGACCCAGAACAAATGGTTCAGATGAAAACAAATCTCCATTTGTCAAACAATTGTTGACAGACAGAAAGAGACAGAAGGAGAGATAGATAGATGGACAGACAGATGGGTGGTCCGTGGACCTGTGGTATCAATGAAGGTACACATTCATTATTTTTTGAGATATTCCTCTCCCTAATGGTATATCCAAAAACACTGGTTGCTGAACTAATATAAATATTGCAAGTTACCTTATATCAGGTAATTCTAATAATCACATCAAGAATAATCATGTATTAATAAAGAAGTAGTTGTTTTTATGTTAAAATAACAAATTGATTTTGTTTTGCAATATTCCGATTTATTCTTTAAATCTTTTTCAAGCAACTCAAAAAGATTTAAAGAATAAATCGAAATATTGCAAAACAAAATCAATTTGTTATTAATAAAGAGATAGTGATATTTTACAGCATGAAAACAGAGGTCTGCTTACTTTTTATCCCCCACATGGTTTGCCCCTCTATGATTTCCAGTATGTTGTGGAGAGGATGATTTCCCATCACTGATTTTGCCAACAATTTGATCAATATACATTGAGTCATCTAGTGGTGTGACACGTTCAAGTCTCTGAAGACGCCGTCGAGGGCTTGTTCCTGATGAATCTTGGGATTGAGAACTTCCTGTTGACTCAAAGGAATTCCCAGATATAAAATGTGCTGAGTTTCGCTTTTCCCAAATGTCAATATCATCTTCTGGCCTTGGTGCAGCTGGAAGATCCTTGTTGGAATTGGTTGATAATGGATTGTTTGGTTCAATAGGTTGGCTCTGTAATAATTCTGCCTCTGTAATAGGAGGAGGGGGAGGGGGCAAAGGTGGAGAACTAGACCTTCGTTTGGATAACTTATTATCAATGTCCTTCTTGTTTGCGAGTTCTTCAGCTCTGATAACTGTATCCACACTGGAACTACTTCCAAGAGTGGAGAAATCAGACGAAGCACTCACATCACTGTTACGCTTTGTCAAATCTACTTTCACAGCATTCGTTAGTTGTGGAACATTTGATCCATTCACATGATTTGGCACTAAAGCACGAGCTGGTTTTGGAGGCTTTTCAGGCCTTATATTTTGGCTCTTGACTATGTTTGAATTTGTTGCTAAACAATGGGGTCCATTGGTTGCTGGGGAGACTGGAGAGCCATCATTACTCTCCACACTGGGATACTTTATATTGCCATCTATTTTAAACCTTGTTTGTTTAGCAATATCAAAGATCTTCTTAGCATTGACAGGTACCTGAAAATTGCATTAAATACATAGAATATAAATAATAAAAGCACATATCATGTGTCAAACAAATATGCATTAGATGAAAACAATGAAAAGCTATAGAAAACCTTATCAAGCCTCAGGCAAGACTGTCAGCCATCTATCTACAGAATGGCTTCCATACTAGACAATTAATTGTCAAAAGATAAGTATCTAAATCAAATACATGTATATGAAAATAGCAATTCATGTTTTATTTGCAGTTGACTGCCTAATTGAGAATAGAAGCATATTCCCAATTCATGTATGGTATAAGTAAACCTTTCACATTTTGAAAGGGTGGCAATCTTGTAAAAAATACCTTGGCATTTCATCAAGAAAAAGAGTGAAAGAATGGGCTGAGGATATGGGAATCCCATCATTTATTGGCTTTATTGCAAAAAACATAATCATCTGTCAATCAATCTTACCTGTGTGCTAGAATCACTACTGTAGTTCTTATCTAATGTGTGGTCTGAATCACTTGACCCAGGAATAGGGTCATCAAGAGCAGCCCCACTCTTCATTCTATTCACTCCTTGCCTACCATTAAGCCCAGGACTGCCATTTTCACAAATCGTCTGCTTCGGATTCATATTTGGTGGATTACTACGCCGATTTAAAAGGGTGTCCTTCGTTTGGATATCAGACCATGAGCTTGTGGTGGATTCTTCTGAAGACCCCATAGACCCAACATGGCCGCTACGCAGACGTCGTGGGTCTGGACCACCTAACCTTTGCAGTAAATCATATCTGAAATTATCAGAAAACTCCTTGCATCATTGTAAATAACAATAACTAAGACTTTTTAACTACTGGACCAATCTTCCTGCAACATGGTATAAATGTTCCAAAGAGTATTGAGTTCAAGATCTACTATTCTTATTCTATCACTAACAGACAATTAAAGAGAATATGCTTCGATGCGTGTGCTGGTGTGTTCATGATGATTCATAAGACCTTTTCATGTATTTGTGACATGGACATGATTAATATGTGTTTGTGGTGATAATTTAAAGCAAATCTGATATTCTCTATTGTTGATTGTACCATTCATAAAAATGTGAAATGCTGCTTTCCTTTCATTTTTCATGCATAATTGGAGATTATGTGTACAATAGAGTGAACAAAAACGTGTCAATAATTGTTACCTCAACTTCCCTGATCTGCAAGAATAACACATAATACATGTAACATCATGAATGGAAATAAAAGAATTAAAATAAATATTAACTAAATGATCTGTTTCTCTTCAACTTTTAATGTAAGAATAGCAAATATAGCTTAAAAAGGACAAAAAATGCACAGAATCATGGAAAATGCAACAACAACTCATTTTTTTAGCAGACTGTCTTCCACACATTGCACATGTATTGCTCTCCCTTGAGACTGTCTTCCACACATTGCACATGTATTGCTCTCCCTTGAGACTGTCTTCCACACATTGCACATGTATTGCTCTCCCTTGAGACTGTCTTCCACATATTGCACATGTATTGCTCTCCCTTGAGACTGTCTTCCACACATTGCACATGTATTGCTCTCCCTTGAGACTGTCTTCCACACATTGCACATGTATTGCTCTCCCTTGAGACTGTCTTCCACACATTGCACATGTATTGCTCTCCCTTGAGACTTTTGAATATTGACAACTGCAATTTGCTTAAGCGTACGTTCACACCAAGGCGCTTTTATGGCGCTTTAAAGCGACTTGAAAAGCGGCGCCAAAGCGTAACAAAGCTTGATTAAAGCATCGGGGTCGTAATAGGTCATAAAAAAGCTCGCAGTAAAGCGGAATATTTGGCAAGAGCCCCAAAAAATGTTAATACCTGTCGTTATATCCACTTTTATTGTTCCTTACCTATTGCTATATCCACTTTTATTGTTCCTTACCTATTGTGTATATCCACTTTTATTGTTCCCTACCTGTCAATATCCACTTTTATCGTCCTTACCTATCGCTATATCCACTTTTATTGTTCCTTACCTATCGCTTTATCCACTTTTATTGTTCCTTACCTATCGCTTTATCCACTTTTATTGTTCCTTACCTATCGCTATATCCACTTTTATCGTCCTTACCTATCGCTATATCCACTTTTAATGTTCCTTACCTATCGCTATATCCACTTTCATTGTTCCTTACCTATCGCTTTATCCACTTTTATTGTTCCTTACCTATCGCTATATCCACTTTTATCGTTCCTTACCTATCGCTATATCCACTTTTATTGTTCCTTACCTATCGCTATATCCACTTTTATTGTTCCTTACCTATCGCTTTATCCACTTTTATTGTTCCTTACCTATCGCTATATCCACTTTTAATGTTCCTTACCTATCGCTATATCCACTTTTATTGTTCCTTACCTATCGCTTTATCCACTTTTATTGTTCCTTACCTATCGCTATATCCACTTTTATTGTTCCTTACCTATTGTGTATATCCACTTTTATTGTTCCCTACATATCACTATATCCACTTTTATTGTTCCTTACCTATTGTGTATATCCACTTGTATTGTTCCCTACCTATCGCTATATCCACTTTTATTGTTCCTTACCTATTGTGTATTTCCACTTTTATTGTTCCTTACCTATCACTATATCCACTTTTATTGTTCCCTACCTATCGCTATATCCACTTTTATTGTTCCTTACCTATTGTGTATATCCACTTTTATTGTCCCTTACCTATCGCTATATCCACTTTTATTGTTCCTTACCTATCGCTATATCCACTTTTATTGTTCTTATCATAGGTAGAAGCACTGCTACTTTCACTTGTGATTCCTTCACTTGAGGCCAATGGGGCTCCAATCTCTGGGGTTGGGGGCAAGACTATCTGCTCTGGAAGAGGCTGCTTGTATTTATACGACTGGTAAAGTTTGATTGGGGAGCGATTTGATTGGCCATCTGATTCTTCATCGCTTGTGATGATATCTTTCGAGCTTGTTGAACTGGAATCTTTTGGCATTTTTTTCTTTAGTTTACGCTTCTTTTGAACTTTACCATGTGCATTCTGAAAACAACAGTTGTAAAAGTCATCCACAATCAAACATACAGCTTAAAGCTGACTGCTTTCTGGCACAAATATTTGAACTCTATCTTTTTTACTTTTTCATTCATTTCATATACATGAAATCAAAAATGTTATAAAATATGTTTATTGTCACAGAAGTTGATTCAAAAATGAGATCTAGAAAAGGATATATAAGAGGAGCAAATCTCATCAAACAAATTATTCATGAGTCTAAAATAATTTGTTCATTCATCAGTGAAACCTTTCAAACCAATAGACTAGATGCAAGTAGAAATGATCTTGATTTTCCTCACTAAATATTCAAAATTCAGAGATAGATAAAAGCACACCTAATTTGTCTGTTAATTAGATTGTTTTTGGGTTTCTTCCAACTTTAAATGCTTTTCCTATGGTCCATTTTAGTGTTTCTTTCAGATCATGAAAGTTTATGTTGGTATTAAGTGTTGGAAAGTCAAATGTTTCTGATAATAATGAATTTTTAATTATTAGAATTTTTAATTATTAGAATTTTTAATATCTTATTCGCTAAAAAGTACCAGGAATTACATATTTGATCTTATTTTCAATTTTTCTGTATCATTAGTTGAACTTACCTCAGCCCCCTCCTCTCCAGCACTGGGGAGTTGAGGTGGGGGTGTAGGGGGAGACATCCTCACCATTGGGCCCCCTTTACTGTGAAGCTGACCACCATCACCCTGTATAAGGGGTGCCTGAACAGCATCTGCAATAACAATATTAGCTCTCTTATGATCTGGTCAATAGCAGAACTGAATATCAGCTCTCTTATGATCTGGCAAATAACACAACATAGTATCAGCTCTCTTATGATTTGGCAAATAACACAACATAATGTCAGCTCTCTTATGATTTAGTCAATAACACAACAGAATATCAGCTCTCTTATGATCTGCCAAATAACACAACATATTATCGAATGATCTGTAAAATAAAGCCCTCTGATTGGTCAGTTCTTGTGCTATACCAATCTGTATTGCCACCGAGATTGTCCCCATTGATCATCTCCGGAGCAATACAGAAAATATTGGTTCTGAGGGGACATTCTCAGTAGCAATACAGAGAATACAGAATATTGTCTTGGGATTACCTCCTAAATTAAATGTGTTGGCGAAGATCACACGATAAAAACGTTATAGAATGATTTGAAGTGCAATACAGAATATATTCTGCTCTCGATATTCTGCATTGGTACTCGACTTTGTCCTGTTCCAATACAGAATTTCTCGAGTAGAATACATCCTCTATTGCACTTCAAATCATTCAATAACTTATAATATCTCTTATGATCTGGTCAATAACACAAAAGAGTATTACAAAACTGACATTTACATAAATGTTTTAACATTGTAATGCAATTCATGATTATGTGTAAATGTACCAACCTGGGTTGAGTTTATCCTTAGTGTGTTTATATCTCAACCAATAGAGAGAGCTGGGAGCAGCGCAGATAAGGACAAGTAGCGTAACAACGAGAATAATTCCAGCTACCAATGCTATTGTATGATCTGCAGCCAAAGGTGGTATGTTTAACTGGAACATTAAAGAGACTTCATGTTACATATAAACAGAAATTAATCTTCATCTTACCAAATTAAATGTTCAATTAATTACTACAGTAAAACCTGTGCATACTGAACATTCTGCCGAAAAAATGTACAGTTTTGGTAGATGTTCACTACAGAGGGGGTAACTTATACAGAAGTCAGTAGAGTATGTGCGGAGGAGGGGTATCCTCTAGAGAGAGGTGTTCACTAAGACAGATTTTAGTGTATATAATATATATAATGATTACTCTTCATTAAGAATTTAGGCATGTACTGTTTAAAAATTCAACATTGTTGCATAAAAACTGTAATATGCTCTACAATATATTATTTGATAAATTAATTTTGCTATAAATACTCTTTTAAATGTCATTCATTCCCATTTGATTACTTAAAGGGGCAACAAGGCCTGTAGAGAGAAAATAGGAAAATTTTAACTTTTTCTGAGCTATCAACATTTGGCTTAACATCTTCTTTGACATACCTATTTTCTTAAAATGTATGGATAAACTATCAATTTCAGCATTAAGAAGTGTAAATTCAGTTCAAAGCAAAAATTCACTTTTAAATTTCTAAGATCCACCTTGTTTCAAGAGGAATATCAGCTGAAAAATATTTATCTAGGGGGTTTCTTTGTAGATAATAAAAATAGATGTTAGTCTTGATGAAATATCCAAATTTAAATATAATAAATATTAAATATTTGAAAAACTTGCAATAATTGTATATAATAGAACAGTATATTTATTTAATGGACATTGTTCCAGATTGTAGGACCTAAGTGTCTCATAAGCCGACACCGGCTGGTATTGTTTTAGTTTACTTTGTATTTGACATTGTATGTATACTTTAACACTAGTGACATTATAATAAAATATTTTAATAATAATAATAATAAATATATTTTGACACTGGTCCATGATCGTTGAATGGCCCCTTTGCACTAATTGTTGCACCTTTAATCCATATTTATTAATTAAATCAAACAATTACCAATTGCAGTAATATGGCTCCATCTATTGCCTTAGTGTAGTTGTATTTCACTATGGCAAGGTCTTCTAATGATGGAGCAGTAGCATTGAGAATGAGGCTGAATTCACTAGCATCCTCAAATGTCACCTGGCCCTAAAACATACAAAATGACACAATAGTACATATATCATACTGGAAATATAGCAACCTGAGATTAGCAAATCTCACCAAACAAAACACACTTCATCATATCACTCCTCAATTTTAACATTTTTGATAGAAATAACGATATCAATAAATACTAAATATGCAGTTTAAGCCTGTTTTGCTCCTTCTTATACTGCCTTTCTCATCAGATGTGACATACAAGAATTGCTATTGTATTCACTTATGTAATAAGCTCATGTAAATGCATAGAGTGGCCAAAGTCAGGCATTCAATTAAAGTTAGAGGTTATAGGGACGGAAGGTGTCTGATAAGTTACACCTACAACTAAAAAAACAGCAGCTTCACAGAGTGGCAAATCCCTATGAACACTCTAACATATATGAATCTGTATTTGTCACACAAAATATAAACATAGGAAACATAAGAGATATATCGGAATTTCTACAAATTTTAAAAGCATTTGGGTGACAATTTAAGAGTTTTAAAGGCACAAATAATAAAGACAATTTGAATTTTCTGAGGCACAAGTCCGGAAAACAATACCAAAATAGTGATCTGTCCTTAATATTTCCTTTAATTTGAGAATAATATAGCCATACTTTGAAGAGATCAGAAAATTATTGCGAAATTCCACATAAGGCAGCGGCCATTTAAAATTTACAAAATCAATACATATATTTGCAATCTACTCTAAATTAGCTTTCAATTGAGTATAATAAAGCTATACTCCAGAAAGATCTCAAAATTAACACAAATTCCTGTTAGCAGCCATTTTGAATTTTCTGAGGCAACAATCAGAAAGACAATACCATAGTAATGATCTACCCTAAACTTCCTTCAATTTGAGTATCATATAGCCATACTTTAAATGGACCAAAAAATTATTATTAATTATTATTAAATTGGTTGAAATCAGTTACAGGCCTTTGACAAATCACTTGAAAAGTGGATTTTCTAGTAAAATTTAATGATATTTCAAGAAATTTAATCCCAGCAAACTTCAGAGAGGAATTAAACATGGACATCTTCAATCTTGAGAGGAGATTGACATGGAAAAAATGCTCAAAACGGGGTCTTTGGTGCGGCACTTCGGTATTAAGAGGTATATTGGAGTGAAACCCCTGGGATAAGAAGGTCTATCAACTTGCCAACTTTGAGGCTTCAACTAATTCGTTACGTTATTAATTTGATGATTGTTCACATATATTTCTTTTCTACTGGCTAGTAATAAACTCGAAATGATTTTTTTGTCATTTTTAATCACAACACATTTCTTGTTATCTTTCAGCATAACACTTAAAGTTTTATTTAGATTTAACAGTTGTATGTTGCTTTTGACTTAACTGTGTTTTATCTGACAGTTTGTTTTGTGTTGTTTTTTTCAATGTATTGGCGATACTGTGCCTTCAATTTGTTCCCAAGATATATCTTAGGTATGTTAGATATTATATGAGCAATTAAAATGGGACATCTCTGATTTTCTGGGGGAGAAACCAAGGTGACATTCCCCCTTTAAGGCTATTAAGAATGAATATTAAAGTTCTGTGTGTAAAACCTTTCAGCCCAAATAAATCTACCATATTACATGATTTAGATACCTTTGGTTTAATATTTCCACTATTTGACTTTAAAATATTCAGTCTCATTTTGTGTTCAAACATAAACAAACTTTGAAGATCACCGAACATTAAAAACTATTTGAAAATGTCATACTGTGTCTATATTGACAGGGGGTGTATTAAAATGTCTTTGTCCTCTGAGAGGGCTTTATAACTTTCTCCTATTATATATATCTACAGTATATGTATTTATCCCATAGAATGGAGTTAAGCTAGATGCAGAGAAGTTGCCATCCATCCTTTCATTCAATCAGTCCAATATAGTTGATTAACAAGAATGCTACCATTTTTCATAAAACTAAAAGAATATAGCACAGACTGAACAGAATATAAAACTTAGTTCAATAATAAGAAAGTATTTGAGAATCTGAAATCCATCCTTATTCCAAGGGTATTTCACTTCTTTCCATTCTCTCTAATGATCAACTACAGTATGCTAACTAGATCCTAACTAGGTTTGCACCTGTGATGTGATGAACTAGATTATTAGAATGTGCTTGTCATAAACTAGATTCACACTGAACAAGGAAAATAAAATATCAAACCAAATACAGAAAACCTCAAATAACAAAAAAAAGAAATGCCAAGTAGGAAAAATAATGGGTCAAACCAAATATTTGGTACTCAAGTGGATTTTTTATAATTTCTTTCAATTATCAAATACTGATTATAGGTTTTTAAAAAATAACTACAAAATTGAACAAGGCATTAATATGACAAAATGTCATCACCTAGTTGGTCAGAATATCATGAGTTCAATCTTAGTCAGATTTGAATTTTTGAGATCTAGTTGATTTTGAAAAAATAAATCGGTCAATTTGAAGCAAGTAGAAAAGAGACCTGTTTTGACCCTGGGAAGGTCATTTAAGGTCAAATTAAAGTCAGATTTGAACTTCTGAGAACTTGTAGATGATTTTGGAAAAATTGGTCAATTTGAAGCAAGATGAAAAAGAGCTTTTTGACCTTGAGAATGCCATTGAGGGTCAAATCTTTTTTGACCTTGAGAATGTCATTGAAGGTCAAATCTATAATCTATATGAAGGTCAAATCTATAGTTTGATTTGTTGAGAACTTGTAGATGATTTTGAAAAAAATTGGTTAATTTGAAACAAATGCCACACTGTATATATGAAATAACAAAGTTTGAAATTCTCTTAAAATCATTCTAAAACCTAAAGATTATATAGCTATATACTTGTACTAATAGTTATTCCTTGGCAACTTTTTCTAGATAAGACATTATCAAACAATTTCAATGAGGCATGGACTAACAAAAATCTTTTAATTTCTTCATTGTTTCAGGTTATGCGTGTTTTAGCATGGAAAGATCCGTTTAAAGTGAGTCTAAAATTGGTTGTTAAAGTAATGGCTTTTACATGGACATATAAATTGTTGGACTAATTTGCAGGCAAGCAGTGACATTTGAAGGGAAATTAAGGTGATTTGGTAATTGTGTTACTGTAAGAACAACTGGCAAAATGTTAGCAAATCTCACAAAACAAAATATGTTTGATCAAAATATATATATTTATTTATTTTGATCTGCGCTTTTATAACACTGGCTCTCTTTTGCATGCATACTTGAGTTATACATACTATAAAAGAAATATTTAATTAATGATACTAAAAGCATTCATTTGGAATATTTCATATTCATTGTACATTGTTTTTAAAAATCTTTTAAAATATGTGTCAAATTATTTCATCATTCCAGTGTTTTTATGATCAAGAAATGTTATGATCTTGTGACATATTGCCTGTCTAACCTATGACCTTGATGGCATCTTTGAATTTAGGAAATCTCCTCCTCTGTTCTGGGTCATAGGTCATATACCCATAATGCATCAGCCAACAAATTTGTAACAAATCAGATAATTGGTATATGCGTTATTGGCCGCAGACACAACTATGAACCGAAGAATGAACAGACGAATGGATGAACTTCTCCATATACCTATTTGGACAATTAATTAAATTCTAAAAATGCACATGCTATTACCCACATTTCATGTAAAGAGGAAAAACTACATTATTCCCGAATAAATCTAATAATATGGCACAATCATAACTCTTTGTTGCTTATTAAAGGCCCACTATACTTAATTTAGAAGAATAAAGAAAAAATAATCATTGAAACATATTACTCACAAACTTGCTGAAATATGAAATAAAGTTTTATTTGCTTTGATATTTGACCAAAATAAAGTAACTGTTAAATAAATTGCACATCATGGCATCATGTAATACAAACAACTTCGCCATCTTTCAATGACATTGATAAAAACTTGATATATAAAGCTTGACAGGTCGAAATTATTTTTTGATAATTCATTTCAAGCATGCGTGTAGTCCATTTGAGCTGTTGTTGGTGTCAAATGAAAGATAAGTTTCTTATAAATACATTGGACATACTATGAAATTCAAATGTAAGTCTTTATTTTGCCCAAAAACATTGATAATACGCAAAGTAGGCCTTTAAGTTCATCAAAGCATCAGAGCTCAGTTGCCAGTAAGTTCAAACTAGAGGTGGATAACTTTATATTGCCTCTTGTAAACGCAGGCCCATTACATAGCCCAGCTCTCCAAACCGCCTGGCTATAGGCCTGGAATGTCTTAGTATCAGGCTATGACTATATTACATTTTTATATTAAATAACGAATTTATAAGATAGAATGTCCAAATTCATGCAGGTTAATTACTATTTTTAAAAGTTTATAATATCATACCATGTCACATCTATTTTCTAAAAAGTGTGACATGTGTTGATGCTTTGTGGACTGTAATCAAGAGAGAATTCCCCTTTTCAAAATTTGTTTTGAGGGATCATATTCTATATACAATATACATGTATTTGATCATATTTCAATACTTTATCAAGAAAATACAATTAGGATTGTAAGGTAAACATGATTTTTACAAGATTACAGTCTCTATTCCTTCTAATACTTTAAAGTTGAGAATGATGAAGAGATCAGGCCAACTAGCCTCAGGTGGACGTATTAAAACAAATGTGAAGATAGTGCATGAAGGTAACACCATTACTATAATTTATTGAAGCTATTATCTAATCACTTGATTAGCCTCCAGTGAAAACACTACTTAAATGATAGACTAGATGTATGAACTCACTTTTAATCTTACAACTTTTCTTTAAGACATATCTGAGGGCAGTTAGTATCCAGTTTGGTATATTATATGTCAATAAGTGGACAATTGTGGCTTAAAGGGCCTTGTTTTCAATGCCCGGGGCATGAGCGGGCATGTGTGGTGAGAGTATCTATGGGATAGACCAACAAAACCCCCCAACAAAAGTAGTAAACAATACATGAAACCTTATTCATTAGTAAAGACCCTACCTTATTGCC